TACAAATGTTAGTGTACAGTTCCCTAATCTATAGCTCCTCGATGGGTTAGTATTCCTTTCCAGCAACTTTTTGCTCAAATTGGTCAAAAAGAAATGGGTGGGGCATGACCATCAGTTGTTTTAGATAACACTAGGGCAATGATGAGTTGGGCCATTGTGTTATTAATTTAGCCATAGCCATTTGTATTAAATGTATTTGTAGTTTTTATAAATTTGTTTTAATAAAGCATGACTCCATTGGAATTAAAAAAAAACTAGGAATTAAGGACTAACCAATTTTCAAACATTACATGAGAACAAGAATTTTTTTTTTGATCATAAAATTCAAGTTTCTATATATAAAATAAATATGTAGTTATTATAAAATATATAAATAAATAAATAATATCTAAAAAAAAATTTTTTTGATTATTTATAAGAAAATTTATCAAAGAATCTTTATTTATTAAAAAATTCGGAATGTTGATTAATTATAATAGAATCAGAAATATACAAATTTTTATTTATTACGATAATATATAACTTCTACCATCTACCCCCTCTACCTCTACCTCTACCACCTCTACTTCTACCACCTCTACCACGTGTATTATAATCATTTGGATTATTTCTTCTATCTTCATTTTGTCTTGTTGATCTTTGATCTGGATAAAAAGTTAATCCTGTTATTACTTCTTCATTATTATTATCTCTTTGTAGTGATGAAGTTGATGGAGGAATTCCTGGTTCACATCGACTTATTAAGTAATATACTTCATTAAGAGTATAAGGCATTTGATGATATCCACTAATTAGACTATCATTAATAGCATTTTTTAATAATTTTAATACTTTTAATTCCCATCCTATTTTATTTTTCTCATTTTCGAATAAATCATAATCTATCATTTCAAAAAATACATCCCAAGTATTTACTTGATATATTTTTTTAATAAGTTGTAATAAAGAATTACTCATTTCATCAGTAGGGTAACCATATCTTTTATCTAAATTATTTTTTTGAGAATTCTTCATATCTTGAGTCATTTTTAAAAATGCTACTTGAAACATTACTAATCTTAATGAAGTACTACTTAATTCGAACGTTTTAGTTAATCTATAATTTGAAATATAATCATCCGGTTCAATATATGCTAAACTTGCTTCCTTATTTAAAAACCAAACTACATTACGGGATAATAATTCTTCCAAGAAACCGGTACAAAATTCTTTCCAATTAATATCTCGACATAAAAATAAATAAATGATAAATTCCCCTAAATTTGGTGTATTGGTTTTATGTCTAAAGCGTCGTCGTTGATCGGTTTGATTACCTTTATTGTTACTTCGTTGTGGTGGTGGTGATGGTGGTTCATTTTTTATAAAATTTTCCACTTTTTTTTCTGCTTCTGTGATGACTTCCGGAAATTTTTTACTCAACATGGTTAATAAATGAAGTAATAAACAATATCCTTGTAATGCTTTCTCGGATGCTTTTATTACTGCACTTGATTGTTGTCGATTATTATCACATGCTTTCATCAAATTAACTACCATCGAACTCATTAATCCCGGAATTGTTTTTAAAACTAATTCCGATTTCCACTCGGTATAATCTCTTATATTCATTAAACTAGTTTTAATGATAGGTAATGCTTTCTCGAAATGAACTGCGCTTAATACCAGGGGAAGAAAATGTGTAAACGAATCACCCCATATTCCGGAACGTAAACGATGATCCCGATATGCTTCATAAGAAAATAAATCAAATTCTGAAATAATTAATTCCCTTTTTTCTACTGATTGATTACTTCCTACTTTAACTCCTATACCTAAAATTGCTTCAGTAAATGTTTTTCGAAGATAAAAACAAATCAATTGACGACGTAATAAAATATTATAATGATGAATTAAAGCATTAATACGGGGATAAGCCGTTGATAAAACTAAAATATCCCGTTCATTCAAGAATTCTATAATATTCAACCAACAATCGTCGTTTAAATCTACAACATCTTTTTTAATCGAAGTTTTAATTATTTGGTTTTCTTTGCGATCATCATTAAAGTTATTATTCTGACTATTGTAAGGAGTTCCATAAATATCAAATTTTTCAATTTCATTTGAATCAGGAGTAATATTAATATAATGTTTGGTCCCAATATCATTATAACCACATTTATTACATTTAAATTTCTTTACCAAATCTTTCATATCACTTTTAAATTTGTTTGGTTCTAAGTTATAAAGGTCCATGAAGTCAAGAACATATCCTCCCTCTTGTTCAATATTTTTATCTGAAAAGAAACTTAATAATTGTAAAAAAATATATTTTAATAAATAACCTGGAGTATAGCCTCCATTATAATATCGAGAACTTCGATATTTTTCTTGTAAAACATCGGCACAAATATATCCACCCATAAAAACGTTTGGATGCTTTACAGTTGTTTGAATTGAAACAATAGGGGCTACTTGGGGATAATTTTCAGGAACATTTACTGTTAAATGTAATCTTATACCATGAAAAGGACCTTGTAAAGGGGTAAGAATTAAACACATTATTGTCATATCATCTTCATGAGGAAAGATTACATTAATGCCTTTCAATGGTTCATCGTGTAATTCAATTAATTCACGTCTTAATCTCGGTAATCGAGCACTGGGTAAATTTGAGTTGTAACTATTCATTATTTTAAGGCAGGTAATGAGTATGTAAGTCTTTTATCTTTCTTTAAAAAAAAAGAATTAGAAAATAATTTAACCTTAACAGAACAGGTTTTATATAACCTTTTTATTTTACTGCGTACGAAATTTACAAATTTGGAAATAATGCATTACTGCGATATCTTTTACTCCGATATCTTTACTGTGATCGTATTTACTGCGAAACTATTTTTTTGTGGTATGCATAAATATGTGCGTTATCTTGATTACTTTTTATTTTAAGAAAGTTTACATTTTTTTCATAATACATATGTATTTGTTTGACGCCAGATTTGTGTTTTGTTTATTGTGTTGTGTTGTGTTTACGTCATTTGAAAACTTTAAGGATGAAATAAATAACGGCACATATAATAACGCAATAATAACATCATAACAAAAAAATGATTTTCCTTGTCAGGTGAGCATTGTAAAATACTTTTTTTTTTTTTAAAAAAAAGACATTTTATTATTTTAGCAATCAAGAAAAGTTAGATAATTTATTAATTTTAAAAATTGGGTTGATAATTATACAAATTTAGAGAAAAAAAAAGTCCGAAATATTCAATAAATTGTGAGATATATGTTAATGAAATTAATAAAGAAGGTTTTCATTTCTTACATCTCTGAACATCATATATTTTAGTGCATTTTCAATGCGTTCTTCATTTCCTTCGCAATAATCTTTTAAATAACGACCCGGAGCGGGTCGCTTAATAATTTGAGCTATTGAGATAAAAACCGTTCTCTACCACTACCATCTTTAACGTCAATGAAATAAAATCCTCCTTTAATAGTTTTATCAATGTTTGACATCCCATAAGTAATTTCTATGTATCTATATGTAGAGAGTTGTTTTCGGAATAAAATATTGCTTTAAGCGATGATGTAACAATTTCTCTAGATTTTTCATGAGTAATAAAGTTGAAATAAAATTCACTGAACTTATCAACATTTTCTTGTTCAATTGTAAAAGTGCTCGATGTAACTAAGTGTTCAATATGATCGCCGCACGAACTTCCGTAGGTTGCACAGTGACTATGAGTAACCCATTTGAGATCGTCCGAAGCTTATTAATTTATCTTTTCCACCCTCCAATAAAGCACCGATATAATTAAAGATTTATTTTTAAAAAGAAGTAGATATGGTGGAATGAAACATAGTGGATTAATTACCTTGTTTTATGGATTATAAGGTTAACAAGTAAAGATAAAAGAACAAAGAAAATATTCATTTGGCACAAAATTTATATTTATGACTTTCGAATTTTTTGCAAAGAAATAAGGGTAATGCTATATGTGAAAATCATATTGGTAAAACGCCAAAACGAGTTCAAAAACATTATATACATATTTATTAAGCTATTCTTGGTCGTAAGAATTAAGATGATTCTCCGGAATTTTTCCTATAACTGAAAAGAGGGTGAATCAAAGCCTAAAATCGATTTAATGAATTCTGTAAAAAGGATCGCTTTATCGAAGATCTCTTAGCTAAAGCTAAAGAAAGAATAAATGGGCTTTTGCTTGAATGTACATTTCTCATGTAAGTGGACATTCCAGCAAATGCTGACATTCAATTATTTCAGCTAATTTATTAAATTTAAAAATTGTTTGATAATTCTACAAATTCAAAAAAAAAAAAAAAAATCAGAAATATCAATAAGTTGTAGAAATTAATTTAGAAGTCTTTGCTATTAACATCTTTGTACATCATATACTTTAGTGCATTTTCAACGCGATCTTCACTTCCTTCATAATAACCTTTTAAAAAGTAATGACCCGGCAGTTTTTTAGAAAGTCGAGCTGGTGAGGTACGCTTTTCACCAGTACCCTTAGAGTGCATGAAATAAAATTCTCCAGTAATAGGTTTATCGGTGTTTTCCTTCCCATAATTAATATCTATATATTTATGTGTAAAGACCTGATCTTCAGTACTAAATAAACTTTTGAGCGATGCTGAAAGAATCTTTATCAAGATAGTTGAAAAAGTAAGCACTGAAAAGATCAGCATTTTGTTTTTCAATTATTAAAATGCCTGATGTGACTTTCTGTGTAAGAGAACCGCCGCACGAACTTTCGCCCGTTTCACAGTGAGTATGAGTGATCCATTTGAGATCGTTCTTGAAATTTCTGAAGCTTATCACCTTTCTGTACTGGCGCCAACAACACACTGAAATAAAAACAGAAATTATGATTGAATAAAAATTATGGAAGTAAATTGATTAATTACCTCGTTTTGTTGATTATAAAGTAAGCAAGAGAAGGTATTAAAGACAAAACAGAGAAAATATTTATTTTGACATAAAATTTATATTTACGTTAAGATATGACTTCCGAATTTTTTTGTAAAAAATAAGGAAAGATATATGTAAAAAACATTATGTCGCACAGTTTGGTTTATGTTATCTGGCAACGTGAGAAATACATAAAGCTTGACTATATTATCCTTGTAAAATATTAGTAAAGCGTCAAAATGTGTGAGTGAATCAAAGCTTAAATTGACTTAATGAATTTTGTAAAAAGGAACGTCTTATCGAGGATCTCTTAAGTTGAAGAAGGCTTTGTTTGCATGTTAATTACTATGTAATTGATCATCAAATGCTGACATTCAATTATTTTAATTATTTTAGTAATCAATAAAAGTTAGATAATTTATTGGTTTTAAAAATTTGGTGATAATTTATACAAATTCAAAGAGAGATAAATCTGAGGTATCAATTTACATGCGAATGAAGTTATTATAGAAGACCTTCATTTCTTACATCTCTGAATACAATATACTTTAGTGCATTTTCAACGCGTTCTTCATTTCCTTCATAATAGCTTTTCAAAAAATAATGACCCGAGGAGGGTCGCTTAATAATTTGAGCTATTGAGATAAAAAACTTACGCTTTCTACCACTACCACCTTTGGAGTCAATGAAATAAAATCCTCCTTTAATAGGTTTATCAACGTTTGACATCCCATGAGTAATTTCTATGTATTTATGTGTAGAGAGTTGTTCCTCGGTATAAAATAATGCTTTAAGCGATGATGTAACAACATCTCTAGATTCTTGATGAGTGATAAAGTTGAAATAGGTTTCACAGAACTTATCAACATTTTCTTGTTCCATTGTAAAAGTGCTCGATGTAACTAAGTATTCAATATGACTGCCGCACGAACTTCCGTGGGTTGCACAGTGACTATGAGTGATCCATTTGAGATCGTCCTCAAAACGCCCGAATCTTATTAATCTATATTTTCCATCCTCCGATAGCGACGAAAAAGCACTGATATAATTAAAGATTTCTTTTTAAAAAGCAGCAGATATGGTGGAATGAAACATAGTGGATTAATTACCTTGTTTTGTGGATTATAAGGTTTAAAAGTAAAGACAAGAAAATAAAGAAAATATTCATTTGGCACAAAATTTATATTTATGACTTTCGAATTTTTTGCAAAGAAATAAGGGAAAGGTTATATGTGAAAATCATTGTGTCGCACAGGTTTATGTTTACGAGAAATTCATAAAGCCTGACTATTTTATCCTTGGAACTATTATTCTTATTGGTAAAACGCCAATGAATCAAACCCTAAATAGGCTTAATGAATTATGTAAAAAGATGCTTCTTATCAAACGATCTCTTGAATAAAGAATGGATGGGCTTTTGCTTGGCATGACCATTCCATCAAAGGCTGACATTCCAATCAATAAAAAGTTAGATAATTTATTAATTTTAAAAAACCAGGTGATAATTATACAAATTCAGAGAAAAGAAAGGAAATCCAAAGCATCAATAAGCTGTAAGATATATAATAATGGGATTAATTTTCTGTAAGAAGACCTTTGCTATCTACATCTTTGTACATCATATACTTTAATGCATTTTCAACGCGATCTTCATTTCCTTTATAATAATCTTTTAAAAAATAATAACCGAGGACGGATTGTTTAGAAAGTCGAGTTAGCGAGATCAAAACCGTACGCTTTTCAATACTACCTTCAGCGTACATGAAAAAAATTCCTCCAGTAATTTCATCAATGTTTTCCTTCCCATAAGTAAGATCTATATAACTATGCGTAAAGACATGACCTTCGGTATAAAATAACCTTTTGAACGATTCTATAAGAATTTCTCTAGATTCTCTATTCTTAATAAAGCTGAAATAGGTTTCACTGAACATATTAGCATTTTCTTTTTTAATTTTAAAAGCGCCTGATGTAACTTGTTGTGAAAGAATTCCATGTTCTTCAAAGTGATTACGAGTGACCCATTTGAAATCATCCTCGAAACGTTCAAAGCTTTTTAATGTCTCTCTTCCATTTCTTACTGGCGATATTACTGGCGATATTACTGGCAGTATTACTGGCGGTATTACTGGCGGCTCACTAATATAATGAAAGATTTCTTAAAAGTAGAAGATTTTATGGGATGAAACATAGTGGAATCAAATAGATTAATTACCTGGGGATTAAATAGATTATAAAAAGAAGAAGTGATGAAATAATAAACAAGACAATATTCGTTTGGCTCGAATGCATATTTACGTTAAGTCGAATTTTCGTAAAAAAAAAAAATAAGGGAAAGGATATATGTGAAAATCGTTACATAGCACAGTTTGGTTTATATGCAACATGAGGAAATCATAAAGCTTGACTATTTTATGTTGGTAAAAAGTGCCAAAACGAGTGGGTGAATCAAAGCCTAAATCGGTTTAATGAAATTCTGTAAAAAAGAACGCTTAATCGAAGATCTCTTAATCAATTGATAATCCGCGAGTCAACTCACGTAATAAGCTTACGTAATTTTATATTTGATAAATTTCAATAAATAATTAATTCATATCTCAGAATTGTCATAAGTTATATATTTTTTAATTAAAAATTTCTATAGTTGACTGGTGGATTATAATTTATTAGTTTTAAAATTGGGTTGATAATTACTCAAATTCAAAGAGAAAAAAAAATCTGAAGTATCGATATATGAGATTGAAATAGATCAGTGATATCAATATATGAGAATGAAATTAAGAAGACCTTCGTTTTTTACATCTTATACTTTAGTGCGATCTTCATTCTGCTTTTTAAAAAATAATGGCCTGGGCGGGTTTCTTAGAAATTTGAGACATTGAGATAAAATCCTCCTTTAATAGGTTTATCAGTGTTTGTATTTCCATAAGTTCTATATATTTATGTGTAAAGACATGACCTTCGGTATAATATAAAGCTTTGACCGATGATGTAACAGCATCTCTAGATTCCTCATGATTAATAAAGCTGAAATAGCATTCACAGAACTTATCAACATTTCCTTTTTCAATTGTAAAAGTGCTTGATTAGTTGTGTGTGAAAGAGTACCGCCGCACGAACTTCCGTGTGTTTTACAGTGAGTATGAGCGATCTATTTGAGATCGCCCTTCAATTCTTTGAATTCTATTAATTTATCTTTTCCATCCGCCGATAGCGACGATAATTCACTGATATAATTAAAGATTTCTTTTTAAAAAGCAGTAGATATGGTGGAATGAAACATTATGGATTAATTACCTTAAAGTTTTGTGGACCATATGGTTAACAAGTAAAAACAAAAAAAAAACATAAATATTCATTTGGCAAAGTCCGGAAAAGGTTATATGTGAAAATCGTTACGCTGTCTGTTAATTGCTATATTGGTAAAACGCAAAACGAGTGGGTGAATCAAAGTTAAATCGGCTTAATAAATTACGTAAAAAGGAACGTAAATTGCAAATCAAGGTCAGCCGAAATACAATAAAGGAAATATCTACAATAGCATTTATTGTTGAGGTCTTCCGTTTTTGAATTTTCGCACCCAGGAAAACCATGTGTTGCGTTGTGTTAATTCAGTTTCATATGAATTATTTTCATACTAATCAGCGGCGAAATTGGCCACAGGTATTTTCATTTTTAATTTATTTTTTTATAATTTCTTTTTACAAATATATAGCTCGAAGTGAAATTTTATTCACTTCGTAAAGTAAACGAAATTTAGAAAATGTGACTATGAAATACAACATTTACACATAGTATTTCTGATGGTGAATGATCAAATAAATGAAGGTAAATGAATTCTAAAAAACTCAATTAATAGATGAATGGATTGAATTGAAGAATTTGAGATGATGAAAATGATGGAATGGTGATTTAATTTAGGAGGTAGAGGAATAACATCCACCTGATGATAAAACGGAAAAGTGGATTTAAGTATTTTATTTTAACTATCTTTAGAATCTCCTGCATTTTTAGATGTATCTGTAAGATATTCAGAAAAAATATTATGTAATTTCTTCGTTTAAAAATGCCTGTTTTATATATTTAAAAAAAAAAATTCATATTAATAAAATTAATAAAAATAATAAAAAAATTTTGTTAGAGAATTAGAATTTAAAAATATTACTTTGATCTTCAATGTTTTCTTATAGTAAATGTTTTTTAGAGTTTTCTGCTATACTTGATTACAGTTTGAGTGCCCAAAATTATTCTCTTGATTAGAACTATTTGAAAAGTTATTAAAACATAGATAATTAGTGAAGTCGCTTTAAAATATTATATAAAATATAATTCTTATTTGATATTCATTATATCCAAATTTTCATTAGAGAGCAAATAGAGCAAATTATTGTTAGAGAATAGATTTATAAAATAATATATAAATAAGAAATTACTATTTAATGAATTATTTTATTTTAAAAATTATTAGAACAATTAAATACCTGTAATAAACGATATAAAATGTATTAAATAAGCGGTCGAAAAGTGAAATTTTTTAATGTTATTTAATTCGTGATCAGAAAAATGAATGTCGAGGCAAAATAAAATTTTAAAACTTTAATTTTATTAATGCAACCATAATCGATAAAATTACTTTGTAATTTTTTTTTCGTTCTGGCTTGATATATTTATTTCTTTTTTCACGAATCTCGAATTAATTATTATTTCTACATTTGAAAAAATGAAATTGAAGGGTTTTTATTTATACTAGGAGACTTACAACTCTCTCTTCTTCTTCTCCCACAACACCTATACTGTATCTCTTATCGGATTCTCCAGTGACGGAATCACAAATATTATCATTACATTATCCAATGAAAATTCTAACTTTTAAATTGAAACCATATCTTTATTAGTTTTAGAAGTAATTCAAGAATTGCAACATTAGAATTAATATTACAGATTGTTTAATTACTTTTTTTGATTATCATCGCGATATCAGAAAACAGAAATGGAAAATTTTTGGAATAATTGTACGACATTGCTAAATCACACCAGTGTGATTATCAACCAATAAAAATTAAATGCATGATTAAATATAGCATATATTTAAAAAAATTCAAAGGGTGTGACACACGGTGATAAATACACTACCCTTAAACCCCTGGCCTGACCCTGCGGTATAGAAGGTATTCTAACACCACTGGTGTGATATAGAGTTTTCGATTAATAATATTAATAATATTAATAATATTAATACTGTAGTAGGTAAATGAAACGAACGTAGGAAATTATTACCGTAATATAAATATGTAAATATGTACAAATAAATAAAAATTTATTAGTTACGCCATTGGTTTATTATATCATCCGTTATTATTTAATTTACGCGATTAAAAAAAAAAAGTATTTCTTTTTTCATAAAAAGTAAAACAAACCTGTATGATAAATAACTAAAGAATTAAATGATTAATTAATTAATTAATCAATTAATTAAATGATTCAATATTTAGTAACGCAGAAGGTTCTTAATATATCTTCTTTTGAAACCCGCGTTTAAAATTATTAAACCTGTTAACACTTATTACCATTAATAATAAAGACAGTTTTTAATGATAAAATTATCCTTGTTGAAAACAAAGTTACTTGTTTAATTATATTCGTCTTTCTCCATTTACCACATTATTCGTCCCTTACCATATTATTCGTTTGTCCCTTACCATATTATTTGTCTTGTCACATTATTCGCCCTTTTCATTATTCATCCCTCATCGTTTTTACAACATTATTCGTCCCTTGCCACAATATACATTCCTACCAAATCATTCTAGTAACTAAATCAGTTTTTGCGTCATTAATTTATGTCATATTAAAAACAAGAAATTTAGCACATCGAAATGGGCTGATAGAAATATAGTAATAACTTATTCACTAATTGATTGGATATTATTTTTTTTCACGTGGTTGTAACTTGTAACTAGATGTAAATATGCAGTCAAAGTATTATTTCGTTAAAGAAAATCTATCAAATAATAATAATAATTATAATTATTATTATTTAAAAGAAACCAAATTTCTTTGCTGCGATTGTTGAAATGAAGAAAGGATCATGATATTTATAAAAAAAATTCAAATGTTAACATTGTATACATATCTCTCTTAAATTTTTAATTCAATACAAAAAAAAAAAATCCCACTCTCTAATCACTTTTTTTGTTATTCCTTTTGATTGAATTCACAAATAACAACAATAATCAAATAACGTTTTTTATTTATTTCTCCGAATCAAAGAACTTTTATCCCTATATCTTCAATTAAACTAATCTTTCTTTTTCCTATTTCCCTTATCTAATAAATTTTGATTTTTTACGTTTAATTAATTCTTAATTTGAATCACAGCTTTTAGGTAATAGTGGAGTAAGGTCGACCAGATGAGTGGTTTAAGAGCCCTAAAATAGAAGCTGAGTATGCTGTACAATGTGTTAGGTTAATTATGTGTTAGAACACTTGTACTGCTATTTTATATGACTTTCCATAACTCATCTGGTTGAAATCCCATTATTTTTTTATCAAATTCGTTATACATCAAATTCCATATATAGCATGAGTATTTTCTATTATAAAATACGCATAAAAAAAAATTCGTTGCACAAATTTTAATTTTCATAAAGTTTTATATATTACACATTTAAGTAAAAAATTGCGGGGCAAATTTGCCCGCGATTGTTTAGGGATAACCTTTCATTTAACCAATAAGGATTTAATCCAATTATTATATTTACATATTGCTTCCAGTCCAGTATCACCAGCTCCATTTTCATTCCACGTTCCTAAATGCATGGGTTAGGGTTGGGTTTGTCAAGGGTAGTATATTTATCACCGCGTGTCATACCATTTGAATATCGATTTTTATTAAATATACTGGGACAGAATTTTTTTCGCATGAGGAAATCATATTTGTCACCCGATACTTGTCACGCTAAATTTGTCACATGAACTTAACAAGTGATGTACATACTTGATGACTAATATTTACACCACTATTTTTTAATATTAAATATAAATGTATCCTATTTTTAGTCATTTTCTAAAATAATTGAACAATATATATGTTTTCATTATCTTGTTTATTAAAAATTAAATTTTCCATTATAAAAAGTAGTAAAAACAATAGTGTTATTAAAAAAATTAAAATTACTTGAATATTGTTACATGTGAAAAAAAATAAAAAATACTTTAAGAACTAATTTCAAGCTTTTTTTTGGTTTAAACAAGAGTTCAAGATTTTATTTGCCAATAATATTTTAGTAATACATTTTCATATGTCTTGTGTTCAAATTTAGATAAATAAGTTAGATTGTATTTTATTATATTCTTATCTGATTCTTTCTGGAGATGAATTCTTATGATAAATTCTTAATATCACTTGTTTATTTTTCTTTTTTATATTACTTATTTGATTCTTGAAATTGATGAATTGAATAACAAAAATAATAGATAAGCTATTTTTTTTTACCAAAAGAAGATTACATAATAAAATTAATTGTCATTTCACAATATTTATTCTTTACTGATGTTTTATTATAAATTAATTTGCCTTTTGTACAATGTTTATTTTTTCTTATTTTTATTAAAAGAATGTTTTATTGTTTTTAAATTGCAAATCTAAAAAAAATTGTATACGTTATCAATAGAATTTGATTAATTATCTTTTTATAATCAACCCTTTTGGTTAGCAAGAAATTTTACATAAAAAATAAATTTGTCATTTGCACAACTACATAATCATGAATTAGTAATATCAATACAAATTTTGAAATAAGTAATTTTATTGTATTCTCAGTTTGAAAATAGAAAATTTCAAATGAGTATTTTTTTTAATAATCTTTTAATACTTTTATAGTCAGCATGACATGAGATTTTATATAAAAAATTAATTTTATCTAATTAAAGATAAGTAAATTAAAAATAATATGAATTATTATAATTGTTCAATACAATTACTCATTGTATTAATATAATGAATTAGTAATTTTTTTGTGTAAAGAAATTAATATAATACATTATTAATATTATTGTATAAAGAAACCAATAAAGCATATGAAGATATAATACTAATTAATTCATAATTAAATACATAAAAAAACTATAAATTCATTAGATTTTCTTTTAAAAGAATTTCACATTTGTGAGTTCATGTAATGGTAAAGGATACATGTCTAAAAGTTGCAAAAGTACATATTTGTCAAAAAATAAAAATAAAATTTAAAACTTAAAACTAAAAATTCAAATATAAAAATCTTAAATTTGAAATCAAAAAAAAATGTCAAAAATTAAAAATCAAAAAATTCACTGTAATATGTGAAAAATCAAAAATTTAATTATCACATTTGTGAATCTGCATCATGTCTAAAAGTCACAAGATGCAGATATAACTGTGATATGTGAATTAAAAATTCAATCAAAAATTAAAATCCAAAATTCAAAATCAAAAACTCACATTTGCAGGTCTGCATCATGTCTAAAAGTTACAAGATACATTTACACTGTAAATGTGAAAAAATTATTAAAAATTAAATAATTTGTCAAGCCTCCAACTTTAAATATATAAAATTGAACTAATAAAAAAATCCATAAAATTCAAAAAAAAGGTTTATCAAGCCTCCAATATAAATGCATAAAATTGAACTATAAAACTCACTTATAATTCATATGAAAACAAAAAAAAAATCATAAAATTCTAATTCACTCAAAAAAAAAGACAAAAGTAATCATTATTACAAAAAAATTACAAAAATTAACAAATAAATTATCAAAATAAATTTTAATAAGTCAAAATCATAATGGATAAAGGCTACATCATACTTAAAAGTTGTAAGATGCATCTTCACCATACATTTATTTATAAATAATAAAATAAAATAAAGTCATAATCTCTAGATGATCAAATTTGTGTACTTAAACTTTACTAAAAAAAATTAATAAATTCTAAATAAATTAAACTAAAATAAACAATAAAATAGCTTATTGGCAAAAATAATTTTTATTTTTAATTATCGAAGTTAAAAGTCATGAGATGCACTTCGCGGTATGATCAATTTGTTCCTCCCATTTATTTGCAACTTTAGGAAATACTTATAATTAAAAATAATCGTCGATCATTGCTACTTATAAAACGGTTTATTTTAATACTAATATGTAGTACTAAGTAACCTTAAAGATAAGAATGAATTGCATATTATATAAAAAAGGCAGTCTTATTTTATTAAAATTAAGAGAACTAAAAGCTGTTAAAGTTTAAACTGGTGAAAAAATTTTAAATGACAATCATTCGTTCAATTCTGATGAAATCGGCCTAAAAATTTTATAGGAATTAATTTTTGTCTTTAAGGTTACTTAATACCGTTTTTGATATTTACTTCTAAAATAAAAAGATTTATATGTGATAATAATTAAAATAAATAATTAATTGTATTTATAAAATCATTGATAGTTGTTACATATAATACATTTTATTTTAGAAGTAAATGTCAAAAAACAGTACTAAGTAATCTCAAAGATAAAAATTAATTGCATATCCTGTAACCAATTGTATACAGATTTCATCAAAATTGAGCAAATGATTGTTATTTTAAATTTTTTTTTTGGCTGTTTAAAATTTATCCACTTATAATCCCATAAATTTTAGGTATAATTATGGACCCTTTGAATAAAAATATTCCCACGAAAAAAATAAAAAAAATTTTTTTAAATTCATGAAAATCATTTCCTTTTTTCCAAAAAAGGAGCGATTTTCCTAAAGAGCCCAAACTATTTTTTATTTATTTTAATTAAAAATTTATCAAATAATCAGCTAAATATGACAATAAAATAATAATAATTATCTGTGTAAATCGATAAAACAATTGTGTAACATTATAAAAAATTAAATGATTTACATTAAATTTTAGAGATTGCGGGCAAAGGGCAAATTTGCCCGCAAAACCGTTTAAGGGATAACAAAGAAACCAAAGCAAAAAGGAATTAATCTTTATAAAAATTCAACATCGAATAACCATTTCATTATCATTGCATTGTCCCCGAACTACACATTCTAGAAAAAAAAATCTTTCCATCTGTTAAATATTGCTCATTTTTATAAATAAAATGGATCAAAAACATAAAAGCTCTTATTAAAACTGACACCTATTATAATTACTCAAAGAATAAATATTTAATTTACAATTATGTTATATGATGTTCTTTAAAAGAATTCTAGAGAGATAATTATTGTATGACAAACGTTCCCCGCAAAACTTAGAATTTTTTAAATGATCTATTATTTCGTTAGATTTATTTAAATAAAGATTTTTACAATTCGTTTTCCTAAATTTTCTATTATTGAAAAAAAATGGATAAAGAATTCGTTAATAGAAAACATGAAGGAAAGACCAACTGTTTAAAATGCAAAAGAAAAAAAAATTAATATTATGCAATTATGTAGACGATGTAATGCAATGGAACAGCTTGTTGTTAACAGTGGCAATAAAAAAATTGACAATTTCATCAAAGAATCACAGTCATCAAAAAATAAAAGCATACAAAGCTCGTTTCTAGAATGGGTTCCACAGGATGAATTTAAAAATATAGAATATATTGGGAAAGGTGGTTTTAGTCAAATTTACAAAGCAACTTGGAAAAGAATGAGGGCATAAGTTGTAATGGTACTATTGGTCGGTCAGAAAGTGAAGTTGTTTTGAAAGTCCTAAATAATTCAGAAAATGTGGATACGGAATTTTTAAAAGAGGTAATAATTTTTTTATTACTAGTAATTAAATTATTTATATAGGTTTTTCTTATTAAAGATTCCCTACTATCGCAAAATTTAGTTGAAACATACTTTTCAGTTTGACCGTAAATATGGAAATCGAATAATCAGATGCTTTGGAGTAACACAAGATCCGCAAACTAAGAATTATGCTTTTATTTTAGAATATGCACAAAATGGAGATTTGCATCATTTTTTAGATAAAAACTTTGGAGGACTTACATGGCCGAGAAAAATTAGATATTGTCTTGATATTATTGATGGAATTAAAAAAATTCATAAAAAGAAAATTATACATCGAGATTTACATAGTGGAAACATTCTTGTAAATAAAGATTCAAGTAATTATGATTATGATATTCCAATTATTTCTGATTTGGGATTCAGCCAACCAGCATCCATTGGTTCAAGAAAATCTCAAATATACGGAATAATTCCATATATGGCTCCAGAATTATTTAAATATCAACCATATTCATTTGCATCAAATATTTATAGTTTAGGAATGATTATGTGGGAATTGACATCAGGACATAGACCATTTCATGATCAAAAACATGGACCAAAACTTATATTAGATATTTTAGATGGAAAAAGACCAGAAATTACAGAAGATACACCAGAATCTTGGGCAAATGTAATGAAAAGATGTTGGCATTCTGATCCTTCTCAACGACCAACAATACAAGAAATTTATAAATTATTAAGAAAATTTTCATATAATGGGTATTATAATGGTCATAACAAAAAATATTATCCACATAGTGGTGATAATTGGTTAGAATTTAAATTTAATGAAGCTGAAAATAAACGAAATGAAATGGTTGAATCCAAAAAACCATTTGTAAAAAATCCAAGATATGAGCATCCTAATTCTAGATATTATAGTAGATCATTAAATTTTATGTTGGAATCTATTAATTCAACAATAACGGGTATTTTTAATCATTCTAATGATTTTTAAAATAAAATAATTCATTAAATAATAATTTCTTTTATATATGATTTCTATAGTTCTATTCTCTAACAATAATTCGCTCTCTAATGATAATTTTGATGTAATGAATATCAAGTAAGAATTATAATATTTATATATTATTTGTTATAGTTATTAATGTAATCATTATTTATCTATATTTAATAATTTTCAAATAGTTCTAATCAAGAGAAAAATTTTGAACATTCAAGCTGCAATTCAAGTGTAGCAGAAAATTCTAAAAAACATTTTTTAAGTGAACTATTGCGAGAAGAAAACATTGAAGATCAAGGTAAATATTTTTGAATTTCATTCTATAACAGTATTTATTATTATTTAATTAAAATATTTTTTATATAACGCAGATGATTTTAAACGAAGAAAGATTGCAGAATATTTTGATGAATGTTTTGCAGATAATGAAATGGATTAATCAATAATAAATTGATTTTTCATTTAATTTTATTACATGCAATTAGATATTTTAAATGAAGAAAGATATGAATATTTTCAAAATGATTTTAAGAATGAATTAATTTTTTTTCTGTTTTCATTTATAGTAGATATCAACAAATATTATATCTCGTTTCTATTTGGTATATTATTAGATATACAATCTCGCATTTTATAACTATTTATTTATTTTATGTATAACTTATCTCTTTGATTATATGATTTATTTATTTTTGTTACAATTATTTATTTATTGAACAGATTCATATTTTTCTTAAAAAACTAATAATTCAGATTCAAGCATTTCCAATTAAATTTGAGTGCAAGTTTTTATAATGCCAGCCAATAAAAAAATAATTTATTGGCCTGAAAAATAAAGAAAATAAGAATATCATTTTTGTAATTCTTTTTTAAGAATGTTACGAAAAGTTGATATAAATTCAATTAAATATAGCTTGCATATTTCAAAAATAATAAATGGTAAGTTTTAAATCTAATTCTATTTTTTAATATTATAATTCTCAAGAAACGTTTACTGAATAATATAATCGGTCATTTTTTTATTATTTATGCAATAAATCCGTTTCACGATAAAAAATACAAATTTACAAGTTCAACGTTCTATCTATTAAATATTGTTTATTCAAATAAATGGATCAAAAACAATAAAGCTCTTGTTAAAACTAATACGATTATAAATTCTCTAAATATTATAAAAAAGAAAAATTGTTGTTAATATTCACAATTAGATAGCATGGCAATATAAGCATCGATAATCTTAGAAACGGTTTACAACCATTTGAAATGGGTTCCTTTTGAAGAATTAATATAAAGAAAATTGGTCAAGGTGGTTTCAGTATAAGTATAAACGATGCAATATAAAATGTAATAAGAGTTATGTTTATTCGTGACAGCATAATAAATTGAAGCAAAATAAAAATTTAAAAATAATCGCAAAAAGTTTTATTTTATTAATGTAACCATTTAGACCTAAAATAATATATAATCAAAGCCTTATTTTTATCATGATCGATTCTGTAATTTTCTCGTTCCGGCTTGATATATGCATTTCTTTTTCACGAATCACGAATCAATTATTATTTCTACATTTGAAAAACGAAATTGAAGGGCTTTTTTTTATACTCGAAGACTTGTAACTCTTTCTTCTACTTCATCCACAACACCTATATCTCTTATTTCGGATTCTCCAGTGACGGAATCACAGATATCACAATATCTCCATATCTTTATTAGTTTTAGAAATAATTCATCATTAAAAAACAAATTGCAGAATTAAATTCATATTACAGATTGATTAATTGGTTATTATCGTGATATTAGAGAACAGAAATGAAAAAAAACCTTGATGAAAAAATATTTTTGGAATAATTGTACATTCGATTTGTCAATTAATATTTTATACTTTTTAAATTTCTTTAAATTATCCCTTTTTTAGTTTCTCTTCAGTAAACCCGAATTTCCGTTTGTAAGAGATTTCAAAACAAGAAATGTAAATAATAAATAATAAGTGAATAAAAATATAATAAATATTCAATATATACAAAATGTACAGAGAAATATTCATCTGATAAAAAAATCTACTTAAAAAAGATTATAATCTACATGTGGAAAAAAGATTTCGAAGAGTAAACAATCACAAACATTATTCTAGTTTTTTTTTTCGAAATGCTGTTTCTAATTTTCTAATTTTCGATTTTCATAACCTTCTGCATTACAAAAATAATTTTATTTAGTAAATTATGATATTTAATTCTTATTGGTTTGTTTAAAGTAGAGGTTATATATTATTATTTATAATAAACTAAATAAAAAGAAAAAGAATTAATCGTATACTATTATGCAGACAATGGATATTTTACAATGGAACAGGAATATCTTGTTGTTGACAATGGCAATAAAGACATCAGTCAGCAAAAATACTTTAATAACATATACCCTAACTACGTATTGCAAAATATAGATTGAACATACTTTTCAGCTTGACCAGAAATATACTTTGGAGTAACACGGGATCCACAAACTAAGAATTATGCATTGAGACTTGCATCATATTATATATGAAAACTTACATGGGAGAGAAAAATTCGATATTTTTGTGATATTATTAAAGGAATTTAAAAAAAATTATATATTGAGATTTACATGGTAGCAATATTCTTGTGAATAATTATGCAATTATCTCTGATTTGGGATTTAATCAACCAGAAACTATTTATTCAAATCTTTCGAAGAAACCTCAGATATGTGAAGTAATTCCATATATGGCTCCAGAATTATTTAAAAATCAACCATATTCATATGCATCAGATATTTATAGTATAGGAATGATTATGTGAGAATTGACATTAGAGCATAGACCATTTCATGATCAAGAACATGGATCAAAACTTATATTAGATATTTTAGATGGAAAAAGATCAGAAATTACGGAAGATACACCAAAAAGTGGCTGATTTAATGAAAAGATGTCGGCATGCTGATCCATCACAACCACCAACGATACAAGAAATTTTTAATTTTTCAGGGGAATTTAGAAATGTTTATTATACAGTATTTCTGAAGACAAAATCAAACAATATCGCCCAAAACAATATAAAATTTGGTTTGGTGAAAAGAAACGACTTGAAATGATTAAATCAAAAAAAAAAAAAAACTATTTATATGAGCATCCAAATTCACTTCATTAAATTCTATGTTAGAATCTATTGATTCAATAATAATTCCTTATATACATATGATTTCTAAAGATCTAATTTATGTTATGATTAATGATAATAATAGTAATTAACCAAAATATCCAATTTAACCAGGAAGTGAAACGAGAGCCATGATAATATATTGATTAGAACAGTAATAAGAATATTGAATCAGTTGACCAAAGAGAAATTATTAGTAAAGAATGATTTTAAATACAAAGCATTCTAATAATTTAATTAATTTAATTATCGTGGTTTTCAAATTAGTGCGATCATTTAAAAATCCGATTATATAGAAAACCGGAAATCTTAACCTATTCCAGGAGGTATAGATTCTTATCCAATTCTTCCTGTCAATTATTGTGTAACTACCTTAACGCATGGGTTAGGGAGTTTATCAGGGTATGTTATTTATCACCTTGTATCACACCCTTCGAATATCGGTTTTTATTAAATATCCTAGGGATTTGGAATTTTTTTTTACATGTGGAAACTTCATTTGTCACCCAATATTTGTCACCTGAAATCTGTCACATGAATTAAACACGTGTAATCCTTATGATCACCTGTTAAATTATGGACCAATCAAATTCGGAGGGGTATATGATAAGAGTCTGTACCCCTATGAACAGGAAAATTCTATACCGGGGGCGTAGGATAAGGGTCCTCTTCAATTACAGTATATATAACAAGATTTTAAATGATCACACTATTGACTCAACTTTGATGAAAATGAAATTTTGATTGGAATTGACAACGTTGTCGAAAGTAATGAAGAATTTATTGATTATAATGGAGAACTGAGAAAGTATGGGAAGTAGAAAAAGTAAGAAAAATTATCATGAAGAATTTAACTATGACAACGAAACACAATAACTAAAATTTAAAATTATTGTCTTGATTTTCTTTAGATTTTTTGCCATCTAAATTTTATTGCTACTCAATATTGAAAATATTAAAGCGAAAAAATCGATTTAATTGGGTTCCACACTTTATTATTTATATACCAAAAAAATTATTATACGGTAGTATTGAAGAATTGGAAAATTGGTGAGAGAAGAAGTAAAAGAAAAAAAAGCAATAGTAACAGTATACAGTCAGACCTTGCTATAATCACAATGTCGGGACCAAAAAAAAAAATTGGTGATTATAGCAAACTTTGACTATTTAAAGGATTTTTTATATGGAATATTAAGTACCAGGCTTTTTACTATATGATTATAGTGATGTGGTGACTATAAACAAGTTTTTTTTTTACATAGCTTTACTATGTAGTGGGTCTCATGAATTAACAAGGGTTTTATATGATGTGATTATAGAAAGTGTGATTATAACAAGGTCTGACTGTAGTAGTAATAATTACGATAATCCAGATAATAAAGATTACTAGCTTATTTAAAAGTAATGATTATGTAATATTAAATGAAGTCATTTGTATGTGTTTAAAATAGAAGTTGAAGAAAGATGGAGTACCGATGATATTTCATTAGCAAATTATGAATGGAATTTTCCTTTCAAAATTTCCTTTAAAATCAAGAAATTATTGCATGTCCATTTATCGAGATTAGTAGGTAAAGTAGAATCTTTTTGCTTTTCCCCATTCAAATTTAAATTTCTAATTTTATAGAAATTTAATGCATGCATCTTCGGGGAGTGTATAAAAATTTTGAGATTCAAAAATATGAATAGGATATTTAACAATAAATTTAAGAGTTTTGACTTGACTTTTTCGATAAACTTGAGCTAATTCTAATCTTTACCAAGAAGAACAACACAGATTCTAATCTTTACCAAGAAGAACAACACAGTTGTTGATAAGATAAATTTGGGGATGTTCAACCAATTTATCTAATTCAAGTTCATTAGATTATGAAATTTTTCCACCATAAATCTAAATAATTTATATGGAATTAATTATTAATATAAAATTAAAATCATTATTTTTTAAAAATATCTAAACTTACTTGATAATAACATCAAATACTTTAACAGAAATGTCTGGACATTTTAATACTTTGACATGATTGTCATTGAAAGTAATTTTGTTGAATCTCTTTTTAAAGTGAGGACTAAGGGATTGTAAAGTAATCGAGTGAACTTTATAAATATTGGTTAAAGGAGCTTCAATTTTGGGTTTAACATTATAATCAATTAGGTTCTTCAAGAAGTTGTGTAAGTTCGTTTGAAAGACAGTCATAAAAATAGGAAGTTTAAATAAATGTAGGATTTCTTTTGTATATAATTTTTTAATAAATTTTATTTGACATGACATCGTTGAAAATATATATGATATAATATCACATTCTATAATTATATTACCTTTCAAAAATTCTCTATGAAAACTATCAATATCATTTTCCTTATATTAAGATTTCATTTTTTCTACTAAGGAATCTTTTTTCCGCTCTATTTAATTCTTTTTTATAAGATATAAGATATTGTTATTATTTGAAGAACAAAGAAGTAAAGAATTATTAATAGAAATGGTGGTGATAAATGTGAATTTTTTTGATTATTAATAATTTTAATATTTAATAAGTTAACAATTTTTTTTATATGATTTAATTTCCTCTCTTTATATAAAAAAAATATTTAAGTACCCAAATTTCAGATCAGGTGATATTATCTTGGTCAATTATAATATAAACCTGACATCCGAACCATCAACCCACTCCCTACCTTGCAAAACTCATTTTAAATGTTATTTTGTTTTGTTTTTGCTATTCGCTTATATAACAAAGAACAACTTTAACTAGTAGTCAAACTGTTATCTATATGTGTAACGGATAGTCGCAATCTGCCATGTTGGATGCGCAGTTTTATTTGTCCTTTTTTTATTTAGGTGCATTTTAACTTGTAAAGAGTGACGAATTTTTTATGAAAAAACAAAATAATGATGATAAATTCTTCTTTAACAACTACTAAAGTATCATCACCATCACCCATCTGCCAATATTGTAACAAACCATGTAGTGGACAACCTGAACTAACAAAAAAATAAGAAAAGAGCAGAACAACAACAAAAACAACCGCAATTACAAATAGGGAAGTCGAACAAAAAAAAAAATCAATCAATCAATTAATTAATTAATATATTTTATAATCCTTAATTAAAAATATTAAAATTAGAATTAGAATTAAAACTTTACCGACTTTCTTCTTTTAACCTTTCTCTGTGGGTATGATTACCCCATATTGGTTTGAATTGAAATTAAATTTGTCATAAAATTGAGTATTAGGCACCAGTTTGTTCCACCTCTGAAAATAGAGAGAGTGAATCAATAAAAATTAAAATAATATGAAATAGCTATTCACCGTGAAATCAGAGTTTGGACGGTAAATAGCTAACATATATTAAATATAATAAATATTAAATATTAATAAATATTAAATATTAAAATAATACATACTATAAAATATTAAATATTGAGTATAAATATTAACAGTTAAATATTAACATTAAAATACCAAATATTAATAAAAATAATAATAAGCTTACCAACATAAAATGATATTAAAGAAGGAAACAAATGATAATCAATATAATAAATATAACAAAATAAACTAAATTATAATAAGTTACAATAAATCATATAAAATATAATAAAATATAATATTAATTACTTTGGAATATGTATAATTCATCGCTAACGGTGTCGCCTTGAATTTGGTAAGAGTTGTTTCCATATTTGCAAATCCCAAAAATCCAAAGAAAGAAAAAAGAAATACAAAAAAAAAATAGATCTAGTAGAACATAATTAAGAGGATCCTTAGCCCCGGTTTAGGATATTATCCTAGACTCGGGGTCTAAAGATTTTAACCTTAGATTAATTAAAATTTTAATGATATAAGTTTAATTGAGATAATCCGAATGGGGTAAAAGAACAAAAATTATTTTATTACTTCGAAAAATATGTCTCATGACCTTCGATATTGTGTAAATGGACATCCTTCTTCCAATAACATATACCAAATATGACCTTTCCTAAGATGCCTGGTCAATTTTATGTTAGAAATCTTAAATAGCATCCTCGCCATTTACCATTTGATCATGAATATTGGGATGAATCCCTTTCGACTTAAATTGAAAGGTGAAGTATTAATTCATAAATAGATCTAAAATAATAGCATACATCACCCAAAGACATCGCACTTTTCATAATTATTTCTTTTAGAGCCTGATAGGGAAACCATTATCATATCTGCTTGCTGCTGTTACTGTTGCTGCTAATGGTGATGGTGTTGATAATGATGATAATAATAGATGATTCTTCTATTCAGTGAAAGAATTTCCAATCGTATTCTCACGACTAAATTTTCAAAGAATAGATTATAAATAATCAAAAATAATATGATTTAAAATATGATTTAAAATGTGACTAATATGTGATTTAATGAGTGAAATTAATATTTAATATTCAAAATATTCCCTAATGACTACGACACAACCAATAACATAAAATAATAATAATTACGTGCTCGACTGCTGCTAACTTTAAAACTTGAAATACGATGATAAAGTTCCATACTTTCTTAATAATTTATTGTTTTCAATAATACATTCTAATTGTTGTTGTTGTTTGGAAATTATAATTATAAATTATTTCTGCAATCACTATTATTAATATAGGCTAACCTTGAGAAAGATAAATCAGTTAGCGGGATCTTTTTTAATTCTAATTTTCTAATTAATGTTTGATACATGTTTGGAAATTGTACTATTTATTCATGCTAAAAATATATATATATATACTTTTAATTAAATTAATTGAATAAATTAGAAATAATAATAACAATAAATTAATTAATACATTATGAAACATAATATATTAAATAACATACACATACGCTCATCAAGCCAATCTTCAAAAACATTTTGAAAATTTCGAAGTACACTATCAGCATGAGTAAAAGTAAATTCTTTGACTAGTTAAAATATTAAATTTATTTAATTAATATTTCGTCGTAAGTAATAATTGACATACAGTAAATATCGTCATAAATAATTAATTGTAGTTAATGTCAATAATATTTATATAAATGTACCTTTTGCTTATTGCGATAAAAATATGTAATAGAAATAATAATCGGAGTTATTTAGAAAGCTGATCATCTGAAACGCGACGATTTACATAATTATGACGATAGCTTCCTCATGATTCATTAATCACGCGTCCTATCATAACTGCGTCATGCTGCGTGAGCGTCCCATAACCTCCTAAAAATATAAATACCCCCCTTATCCCTACCTCCTGTTTCCTCATAAACAGAACTTACATTGTTCTTTTACTCAAGAAATTTAGTTTTCTATGGGAAATTGGTTCTATTTCTCTATGAGAGTATTCTGAGAGAGATAGTTTTTAATTTCTTGTACAGAGATAGAACTCTATTTTCTTGATTCTTAAGGACGCTGCACGCTCTGGTCTGGATTTTGGTTGCTCTGGACCCGCTACCTGACTGAGGATAATGTGGGGCCTTATGCAGGCACTAATCCCAGGTGAGCACTCTCTCTGAGAGTCCACTAGTACTGACCTCGCTCGTGTGGTATATGTAAGGTTTACTCTATTGTATAGTTTTCTATGCATAGGGGGAGACTGTTGTATTGCTTAGGTTATACAATGGAAACTTCTGTTGTATGGTTTGCTATCTTTAGGGGGTTCTAGTGTATAGATTTGGGCTATACATAGAATCGAGGGCCATATTTTTTTTATTCTAAAGCGGGTGGGATGTGAGAGTGTGTCACAATAAAATCTTCTGGGAATTTTGTTATAAGGGTGACGGTGTCACATAAAGAAGAAATCAAGATAATCTAAATTGGCAACGTATTACACATTCTTATATTTTTATATATTCACTTAATTTCGTTTTCTCTTTTATATTCAGATCAATTCTGGGTGGTCAAATTCTAGCTTAAAGATCGAAAATATTGATAAAGATCGAGTCTCCATTTAAGATGCATCGACACAAATAACAATTCTTCAAATTTCTGCTTTTCTAAATATTATCTTCCACTTTTCCGATCTCAATCCATTGTAATAATTTAATTGAAGGATTCAAAAGTTTCGATAAAGAATACTGCAGTAAGTATTATTTTTTTTTATCTATTTGCTTGATCAACGTGATTGATCTTTGGCATTTTTTGAAATTTTATTAGTATTATTTTATAAATTGTAGACAATTGCAGAAATTTTTGATTCCTCGCAAAGAATAGAGAACGGTATGAAATATAATTTTGGGTACCTAGTAGTAATATTATTTTTCAGTTGTTTTAGTGAATTATTCAGACAGCATTTGGAGAACTCAGGCTTGGAACTGGTAAATAAAAGAATTTATTATATGTCTAAAAGTAATTATTTTGTTTAAAGAATTATTATATTAATATTGATATTAATATAATTCCATGAAAAATAGTAAAAAAAATAATGACAGTTATGCAATGAGTTGGGAATAATAGCAGTTGATGTTGGAGCTATTGACGTTATCATTCTTATTCCATGGGAGCCTAAAGCTTCTAACATTCTTGATGAAGAATTAAAATAAATAAACGAGGCTGGAACATTGACCTTTCGAGTATATTATCATGATTGGAATCTTAATATTATTTGAGGTATATACTGTATCTATTTTATCAATTTATTTATTTTGAGGGTTGACAGATACGAATATACTATATTTATTGTTGTGTATACAAATATGATTATCAGTATCTTATGATCTCATCATCTCAAGATAAGACGGCAATGGTGGTTTGAATAATCATTACGTATTGAATTATGTCAACAAATTTCTTTTGTTAAAGTAATTATTGCTCCATCTAGAGTTAGTTATATTTTTTGGTTTCAATCAAAATACATAATAAGTCATTTATTCTATATGAATTATTCTAAATATTATTATTATTCTATATAATATATTATAGGTCCATTTACTCCAGAAACAATTCAATAATTATATGATATATTCTAACAAATGGTGTACAGGAGCTTAAAAGACAAAACGAGTCTGACAAGATTATTATTCGAAAAGTAATAGATAATTTGTGGAGAAATTCATTAACGAACGAACAAATGGAACATAAGTGAATAAATGAACAGTAATAATAATAAATAAATAATGATGAATAATTAAATAACAATAAATAATAATGAATAAATAAAATATAAACAACAAATAATAATTAAATAATATATACCATCTCTAAGTTCTTTCCAAGAAAAATAATACGAATGACTGGTTCGGATGGAATAAGATTTCGAGCATGAAATTCAAGTATTTGTTCCATATCCTTTTCGAAGATCCGAAAATGGATAGATGATATTGTTGAAGTTTTATACTTTTTTTTTCGCATAATTCTTTTACGAATGGACGAAGATTTACCTGCTGTCTGAATATTAAAAATAATTATCATTATTATACGATATTATATTAAAAAAAAAATATTAAAAATGAAAATTATATGCTCAACCTTTCCAAAATAAGTGTACAAAATTTAATTACACAAAAATGTTGACAATTCAAATAAAGAGCTGCTACATTTCAATAATAACCAACTAAATTTCCTGGTAAATAATCTTGCGATTAGATTGTCGAGTTACTGGAAGTATCATTCCATTCGCTATAGTTAATTAGAAATTAAAATATAATAAATTTAATAAATAAAAATAAATAATAATAATAAAATTTAAAATAAAAGTAAATAAATAATAAAAATAAATAAAAATAAAAAAATAATAATAAAATACTCGCAAAAAGCTTGCTCCAGCTTGAACAAAATTTTTCAACTGCTTTCTTATATTTATGTTTTTTCAATAATTGTTCACCGTGAAGCAATAAACTTGAAGTTTCAATAAATCCGAAACAAATAATAATCTATCATAAAAGATTCAAAATTTTATGAATAAACTATATCCGGTATTTCGAGAATATTTTTAGAATTAATAATAACTCTTCCTCCTCCTCCTCCTCCCATACTTAAATCTAAAAACTTTTCAATCATTCCATATTATTTTTCCGCCGTTATTGATCCATCTAGTCGTCGTCAATTTTTTTGTTTAATGTTAATTGTTGATTAGGAATATGCAGTTTGTTTAGATACTCAATTAAGAATTATATGTATGTAAAGAATTGACATACTCATTGATACCCTTTGATCTCCATAATTTTCACAATTTGGTTTCGCACAAACCATAAAAATAAGATATAAATTACGAGCTATTCTATAATGTGATTGAATAAGTTTATGAAATTAAAACATCATAAATACTGTGGTTTTAATCCTTTCCCCGGTAGTTGTAATACTTCCAATATTTCCTATATTATTGTTACTACCGCTACTACTTTATATTATTGTTGTTTCCTTTCGAATAAAACGTTGTGTCCGAAAGTATAATAGATAGATTCATCCCCCATTAGAATCTCTCAAAAAAAAAATATATTTCATTTTGAAATTGAAGTTGATAAATTGATAATCTAAAATAGTATATAACTCGTAAAACCAATTTTTTTTTAAATGATTTTTTTTTTCTTTTCTAATCTATCACGTGATTCACTTACTTATCATCAGTTATGATTGACATCCGTATGAGTCACGGCTAACTAGCGTGATTGATAAATATACAAATAACCAATTAATATAAATGTTGTCATAAGTAATTAATATAAATGTGCCGTTTGCTTATTGGGATTTCTCCAGTGAGTACTTGATGTTGTTGTGAATGTATTAACTGCTGATTGTGGAGAGACAAAAAAATAAAATCCAAGAATTAGTAAACGCTTTAAAGTATTTGTGACAAAAAGATATGTAATAAACAATAATCGCACTTATATTTAGATTGCCGATCATAACGCGACGATTTACATATTTACATCATTATGACGATACTTCCTCATGATTTATAATTACGCGTCCATCATGCTGCGTCTACGTCCATCATGCTGCGTGAGCGTCCCATAACCTCCTAAAAATATAAATACCCCCCTTATCCCTACCTTCCTGTTTTCCTCATAAACAGAACTTACATTGTTCTTTTTCTCAAGAAATTTAGTTTTCTATGGGAAATTGGTTCTATTTCTCTATGAGAGTATTCTGAGAGAAATAGTTTTTAATTTCTTGTACAGAGATAGAACTCTATTTTCTTGATTCTTAAGGACGCTGCACGCTCTGGTCTGGATTTTGGTTGCTCTGGACCCGCTACCTGACTGAGGATAATGTGGGGCCTTATGCAGGCACTAATCCCAGGTGAGCACTCTCTCTGAGAGTCCACTAGTACTGACCTCGCTCGTGTGGTATATGTAAGGTTTACTCTATTGTATAGTTTTCTATGCATAGGGGGAGACTGTTGTATTGCTTAGGTTATACAATGGAAACTTCTGTTGTATGGTTTGCTATCTTTAGGGGGTTCTAGTGTATAGATTTGGGCTATACATAGAATCGAGGGCCATATTTTTTTTATTCTAAAGCGGGTGGGATGTGAGAGTGTGTCACAATAAAATCTTCTGGGAATTTTGTTATAAGGGTGACGGTGTCACATAAAGAAGAAATCAAGATAATCTAAATTGGCAATGTATTACATATTCTTATGTTCTTAATTTTGTTTTCTCTTCTTCAATTTCTGCTTTTCTAAATATTCTCTTCCGATTAATAATAATTAAAACATGAAAATGATTCTTATATAGAAGAAAGTAATTCAAGTGAATGAATACTGGTATTATTTATTGAGTATTGGTAGATACTCTCTAATGATAATTTGATATAATGAATATCAGGCAAGAATTATATATTATTTAATGTAGTTATCAATATAATTACTAATTACCTATATTTAATAATTTTTTAAAATAGCTCTATTCAAAGAGAATAATTTTGGACATTCGAACTGTAATTCAAGTGTAAAGAAAATTCTACAAACATTTTTTAGATGAATCATAGCAAGAAGAAATATTTTGAATTTTATTCTATAACAAATATTTTATTATTTAATTAATTTGTATTTTTTAACTAACGAAGAAAAATTACGGAATATTAAAATTCATTTTTTATTTATAAAAATTTGTTAAATTTTAATTTAAATATAGGTTGCGTACTTTTATATAACGGTCAACAATGCACATAATAAATAAATTATTTTTTTGAAGTACTCGATTATTTACTTTGTTTTCATTTTGTTAATAGAAGAAAAATATGTACTTGTAAGTAAGCATGTTTGATGGTGATAGGATGGAATTATATTTTTTTAAAAATGTTTATTTAAATGATTTAATAACACATGATGATTACAATCCGTTACTTATAAATGACAGATCGAGACTAATTCGTAACAAGGAAAATTTCGTATACTATACATTAACCCAAATAGAAAAAGCCTATCAACTTTTGATGGCTTACTATGGTTTTTAATGGAAAGGAAATTGTTTATAAAAATGCGATAAAACATGACATGATCACCTTCAATTTAAGGACGTTTCTGTAAACCTTCTCCGTCGGGTGGCATGTATTGTTCTTTTAAACCTTTCTCGGATTTAATTAATTAATCAAGAAATAAATAAATAAATAAATAATAAAATAATAAATTAATAAATTACTTACTCGATCACCATCATTAAGTGAAAGAAGTGCAAAATGAAACCAATCAAATGAAGGTGGAATTACTTCTAATGTATCAATGGATGAAAGATAACTGGATGTTAAATCAATCATTGATTTTTGGAAATTATCAAATGCTAGATCATTCTTTTCTATTTTATTGGCATATTAAAATATAATACGTGTAGCTACATGAATAAATAAACAGTAATAATAATAATCAAATAATAATGAATAATTAAATAATAATAAATAATAATGAATAAATAAAATATAAACAACAAATAATAATTAAATAATATATATATACCATCTCTAAATTCTATACGAGAGATACAACAGAGGTTTGATATCAGATCACAACCTTCCGGACTTTAATTTAAAATTAAAGTATTAAGGTTAGTAGAATGCACAATATAAATGTTAATAACAATATATACGATATTATATCAAAAAAAAAATAATAATAATAAAAAAGAAAATTACATGTTCATCCTTAAATGATTCCAAAGCAAGTGTACAAGATTTAATTACATAAAATGTTGTAAATGATTCCAAAGCAAGTGTACAAGATTTAATTACATAAAATGTTGTAAATGTTGTTGGCAATTCAAATAGAGAGTTGCTATACGTCTATAATAACCAATTAAACTTTCTGGTAAATAATCTTGTGATGAGATTATTGGGTTACTAATGTAAGGTGAAAGTATCATTTCATTTGCTATATTTAATTTATTTAATTAAAAATTAAAATATTTAAATTTAATAAATAAAAATAAATAATAATAATAAAATAAATTTAAAAATAAATTTAAATTAATAAATAATAAATAATAAATAAATAAAAATAAAATAATAATAAATACTCACAAAAGCTGCTCCAGCTCAAATAAAATTCCAACTGCTTTCTCATATTTACGCTTTTTCAATAATTGTTCATCATGAAGCAATAAATCTTAAGGAGTTTTACTAAGAATTAAACATATTGTTGGTGTTAAACAATACCTAAATTTTCGAATCTTTTATTGATAGATTATTATTTGTTTCGGGATTTATTGATGAATAAATTATATCTTAAATTTGTGTATTTCGGGAATGTCTTTAGAATTAAATAATTCTTCTTCCTCCTCCTCCCAGACTTAAATTCAAAACTTTTCAATCATTCCATCTTCTTCCGCCGTTATTGATCTATCTTGTTGTCGTCGTCGATTGTTTTTGTTTAAGATTAATTGATGATTCGGAATGTGCAGATTTTTTAGATACACAATTAAGAATTATATGTATGCAAAGAATTGACATGCTAATTGATACCACTTGATCCCCTCGTATTTTTCACAATTTGGTTTCGTAAATTACGAGCTATTGTATAATGTGATGAATAGCAATAGCAGTTGAATTAAAGCGTCCATAAAATACTGTGGTTTAATCCTTTCACGGTAGTTGTAATATTTCCAATATTTCCTATATTATTATTACTACAGCTACTAATTATATTATTATTGTTGTTGTGTCCTTTCGAATAAAACATCGTGTCCAAGAGTATAATAGATCCCCAATTGCATTTGATCTAATCTATCACATGATTCGCTTAGCTAATCATCAGTTAATTTATGATCGACATGCATGAGTCACACTTATAGAGGGTTCACTGTATTAATCAATAGAATTTGTAATTTGTCAGTTCATATTTAAATTACTTACATTTTTCATTTTTACAAGAGTTCCAAACAAGAATTCCATTTGGTAAAAAATATTAGCTGAATAGTCAGAGAAAGATTATTAAATTTTTCATAGAAGTTGAACTTTCCGTGCGCGAATTAAATTTCATAATAAATAGAATAATTCAGACGATAGAGTTGTATTTGTTTTTTTCACCAATAATCAAGAGCCGATCATTTATTATTACACTATTATGAAATCTGGGTCATAGCATAAAATTGAATTAATTAAAAAAATAATGTAATAAATAAATTTAAATAATTTAAATAAATAATGCATTTTTAATACTTGAAATAATAGGATTATATAATTCCCTTGAATTTATAGAATGATTAATTAGATTTTTTTTTGCCTTCTCTAAGTTCATTAAAATCATAGTCTTGGAATATAAATGCGCAATTGTATAATGGTCATAATACAAAAGATGCAATTCGTGAAAATTTTTTTGAAAAGTGGTTTATTTAAGCAATTATAATTCATCCGTCATTTACGAATATGTGAAATTTCAATTCTAATTTCAATATCTACCATTTATCTACTTCCATCTATTTCAAGAACCTTGTTTCATTTTTTTAAAAATAAAATAAAAATTGCAATTAAACCACATATTCAGTAATCAAAACTTTCCCTATGAAAAAAAAAAATTCAACTTGTATTTCATGTATTGCTATTAATAAATAACTCACTCGTATTTATAAATGTACATTTATTCAATTTTATTGTACAGCCGCGTCAGAAAGTAATGCCTGATTTTCCAGTTTAACAATATTCAATATTTTCACAACTTATTCTTCCTTTTTTTTTTTTTGTTTTTTTCCCATCCATTTAATTTTTATGACTATATGAATGTTATAGAATTTATACAATTAAAAATGACATCCAAAACTGGTGTTTCAACAGGATAATTCACCAATTCATATCATAAAAAAACCGTAAAATGATTTTAGACAAAAAGAATACATTCGATGAAATCATATTCTTTAATTTCATTTTTCTTGACATCCTTGCTACCTCCTGAGATCCGAGACATCATCTTGACAAAATGTTACATATGTAGAAGAATTATTATGAACGTAGCTAAATTCTTCTTTAAAATAAAAGTTAGTCAAAATAATTAACGGAAAGAGATGATTTTATCACTCTTTGCAATTAGTGCAATTAATATAATTTATGGTATTTAACAATATGTATTGTGATTGAAAACTACGTGATTTCTGATTAACGAAAATTGAATCTTTGAAAAAAAATTATTTTGCTTAATTACATGAATTGTTAAAAAACATTTAGTGGAACACTCATCTTGTTAGATAAAAAAAGAAAAATTTGAAATATTTATTCTGGTTAAAAACCTATTGCAAATTATATGTATAAAAGAATAGTTTATCAAATCTACATGTTATCTATAAATTTTTTTAATTTAGTCACTTATTTTTTTGTCTATTTTTATCATTTTTTATTATATTAAAAATATATATATATATATATATTTAAAAAGCTTGCTAAAAAAAAAGACAAAAAAATAATCGAAACAAATAATAATACTGATAAAGAAATTATATGAGATGATGAATTATATCAATCTTTAAAATAAAATCAAAAAAATTTTTTATCCAAAATTACATCTCATCTAAAACTTTATTGAAACGTATTGGAGGGCTGTTAAAAAATATTAATGAAAAATTGCGATTCTACCTGAAAAGTTGTGCCTAATGCTTTGAATTAAGTTCAACTATCTCAAATTAGAACATTGCCAAGAAAATTATATCATTATATGGATTCATATAAAGGATTAAATAGTTAAACACTATAAAAGACATAATTCCCGATTTATTTTTAGAACGAGATTAATAAAATAATTATATAATCTTGGCGACTAACTGTAGAAAGATAATTTTCTATTATTTGCGTTAATTTTAAGAAATGTAATGAATGCCATGCACCAGAATAGAGACTGGAACCGTAAAAATATTTTTATAATATTCAACGGAGTCTTGCCCCAATATAATTCGTTAATAGATTAGGTGGGAATTTTAAAGATACAGATAAACTGACTAAAAATAGAATTTTACCGTCCAAATTTTTAAAACCGGTTAAAAATATTTTTATATAGTCAAATTAACCGGTTAATCGTAAATTTAACCGATTAAAAATATAATAAATATATCTTTCAAACCAAAGTTGAAAAGAAAAAAAGACTGAATTTGAACTATTAAACTGAATTAAAAAGCAAAACCATTAAACTGTAATAAATTTAAAGTTAATTAGTTTAATTGTTTCCACATAGTTAGTGATTAACTGGGTCGATTAACTGGTTAAAGATTTTTGGAGTTCCAGGATTTATTAATTGAAATTATAAACGATAAAACAAAATTCTCAATATCAATAGAACGGGTAAATATTGGCTGTACTGGCTTAGTTAATCAAAACAGGATTAAAAAAAATATTTATCCATGATTAATTCTTATATCTTTTTTTCTCCATTACATCTAGATCACGTGGATAGATATGAAATTTCAAGAAATAATTAATAAATATTTGATGGTCTTTCTTTGGTGTTGGTGCTTGAAATTCATTCTTGAAGCTAAGGGTGAATGTGATTCACAAATATATTGTTCAGGATCACTTCTTAAAAAAATACAATTATCAGGAATATATGGTTCAAAAGATTTCGTGGACAAGGTAAAAATGTTTGATGATTATAGTAAAAATAATCATAAAAATAAATTTTAACTACAATAATTATTATTTTTTTAAAAAAATTAAGCCTACAATAAAACCATTAGATGAAGTTTTAGCTGCTGCATCGCTTCTTCCCGAAAATAGCACAAACGACGAATTACAAGATTTCATATCAACTTATTTTGGACCAGAAGGTCAAGAATTAATTCTTGCCAATATCACCAATTTTAATTCAACTCCATCATTTCTCCAAAAAATCAAATCTCCATTACTTCAAGAATTTGCTAAACACGTTCATAATTATTGGCCAAATCTAACACGTCAAGTTGATCTAAGTTTTATGTGTGAAGGATGCGTCTCAAGCTTTATAGCGTTAAATAGAACTTTCGTAATTCCCGGTGGAATATTTAGAGAGATTTATTATTGGGATAGTTATTTCATTATTGAAGGATTGTTGGTTAGTGAATTGTATGATATTGCGAAAAATATGATATTAAATCTTTTGGATTTAGTTGAAATTTATGGTTTTTGTTCGTAAGTAAAAAAAAAAAAATTATAAATTATTATTTTCTATTATAATTTTATAATTTAATAACCTATAATTTAAATTTACAATTTTATTTTGTTTTTAAGCAAATGGTTCACGAATTTATTACCTTAATCGATCACAACCACCTTTACTCGTTCAAATGGTAAAAATTTATTATCAAGCCACCAATGACACAGCCTTACTTTACGATGCATTCCCAATATTAATTAAAGAATATAATTTTTGGCGTAAAAACAATTCAATTCGTATCGTTTCTCCAGAATCCAAAAAACTTTATACATTAAATCGTTACATAGTGAATAATAATGCACCGCGTCCAGAAGGTTATCTTGATGATTTTAATATAGTAGAACTTAATAATACATTAAATTCTACCGCAAGGGAAGAATTATATGCAGATCTAGCGGCGGGCGCAGAATCTGGATGGGATTTCTCATCAAGATGGGTTAAAGAATTATTCAAGAATTCATCAACAGATGATAATAATTATGAAATTCTTCGAACATTAAATACTGATGCTATAATACCGGTAGATTTAAATTCTATTTTATATATGAATGAAATTACTTTATCAGAATTTTCCGAGAAAATTGGTGAAGAAAAGATGATTAATACATTTAAGAATGCTGCCAAGAAGAGATTAGAAGGAATTACGGATTTATTTTGGGATGAGGAATTAGAATTGTTCATGGATTATAATATTTCAAGTGAAAGCAGATCCGAAGTGTTTTCTTTAGCTTCATATTTTCCATTTTGGTATGTAATATCAATCACGTAATTTTTATTTTTAAAAAATCCAATATAATGATTTATTTAAAGATAATATTTCTTTTAATATAATATTAATTTAATATTTTAATTCATTTGATATAATAGGGCCCAATCTCTGCCAAAAGATTTTATCACTAATTCTACAACAATTCTTGACACATTTTCATACATCACCAATCTTTTATCAAAATATCCGGGATCCCCACCGATCACTCTTATTAATTCAGGTTTACAATGGGACTTTCCAAATAGTTGGCCACCATTGAATTATGTTTTAATTAAAGGTTTAATAAATTTTCATAATTATGATGATAATGATAGTGAAAGTGAAATTAAAGAATTTATCATGAATTTAACAAAAAATTTAAGTCAACGATACGTAGATTCAGTACTTTGCACTTGGTACTCAACTGGTGGATCAATACCTGGGTATTTGAATAAATTATCAGGAGTTAAAGATACTGGTCATATTTTTGAAAGTAAATATCAAAAGTAAATCTTTTTCTTTTTTTTTTTAAAAAAAAAATAATAATTGTTTATATTAAGTTAATATCATCCTTTTGACATTAACATTATATCAAATTTTATTTTTTTTACTTTATAGAATATAATACACTTGACCTTAGTTTACCAGGTGGCGGCGGAGGTAAACAAACATGTTTCTATTTGCTGTATTTGTATTTGTTTCGATTCGTATTAAAAATGCAATATATAAATTTTATCCAAAATATATAAATAGGATATGATGTCCAAGTAGGATTTGGATGGACGAATGGAGTCTTATTATGGATTTTTTCAAATTTTGGAGATATATTAAAAGAACCAGAGTGCTTATCTGATCTGACATAAAATAACCATTTACAAATTATCAATTATAAATTGTAGTATCCTACAAAATACGGTTGCTGTGAGCTACGGTCATGAATAGTAGGAATTGATCAAAAATAATAAAGGTTTTAATTTTTGTGATCCAATTTGACTACAAGATTTACAAGTTTAAAGATTTATTGTAAATTTTGGAACCCTCTAACATGTATCGCATTTTGTATTCATTCTGAGTGGCCCTTGATGATTTCAAGTAGTTATAGCCAAAGTTTATGATATGGAGTTTTGTCTTTTTTCTCATTTAATTAATCCATCGTGGTTTGATCCTTTTTTGGTTTATTCAGGTGAATAATTACTTGGAAACAATTGAACTGATGATTTTAATCAGAATACCTTTCATAAATGGTCTCTTGATAATAAATTTCATTGTGATGACAATAGTTTGATTGTTAATAATTGATGATCAAGTGCTTAGTATTTATTTTTTTTTGAATATGTAACTTGTGAAATGAAAGACAAAAAAAAAATATAATAATAGAAAGGTAAATGTTATTATCACATTATTTGTTTGTTACGTAATGGTTTTAGGCTATACAATAGAAACTTCTGCTTTGCTATCTTTAGAGGGTTCTAGCAGCCATATTTTTATATTTTTATTTTAAAGCGGATGGGATGTGAGAGTGTCACAATAAAAATCTTCCGGAAATTTTATTATAGGGTGACGGTGTAAAATAAAGGAGAACTCAAGATAATTTAAATTGGTAACGTATTATATATTCTTATGTTCTTAATTTTGTTTTCTCTTCTTCAATTTCTCTTTTCTAAATATTTTTAAAACAAGGAAATGATTCTTATATAAAAGAAAGTAATTCAAGTAAATTATTTTAGGTATTGGTATTATTTATTGAATATTGGTAGATACTCTAATGTTAGTTTGATATAATGAATATCAGTTAAGAATTATATATTATTTAATATAGCTATTACTAATTATTTATATTTAATAATTTTTTATTCAAGAGATAATTTGAACATTCGAACTGTAATTTAAGTGTAACAGAGATTCTAAAAAAAAAATTTTAAATGAATCATAGCAAGAAGAAAATATCGAAGATCAAAGTAAATATTTTTGAATTTATTCTATAAAAAATAATTATTATTATTTAATTAATATATTTTTTTTATACAAAACAGATGATTTTAAACGAAGAAAAATTCCGGAGTAATTAAAATTCATTTTATAATTTATAGAAATCGTTAAATTTAATTAAAATATAGTTCGCGAACTTTTATATAACTGTTAACAATGCACGTAATAAATATATTATTTTAGTACGATTATTAACTTTGTTTTCATTTTGTTAATAGAAGTAAAAATATGTGCTTGTACATATATTTGTAAGTTATGTCTATGTATGTTTGATGGTGATTAGGATGTAATTATTTTTTTTTTATTTTAATAATCACATTGAAGATCTAAATGTTTGTGATTGGTTAAGAAATTTATTTTCGAAGAATCAATCAAAAATCTTAAATATCTCAATGTTAACTACCTTTTGGCACCTAAATAAAAGTATTTAGCTCAAAGTTTTACATAAATTTATATTTTTTTTTGCAAATAATCATTATGTAGAATATTCGCTCAAATTCTTAATAAACATGCATCACCTGGCCTCAAAACCCATGAGCCCTAAATTACTCGATCACCATCATTAAGTGAAAGAGGTGCAAAATGAAACCAATTAAATGAAGGTGAAATTACTTCTAACGCATCAATGGCTGAAAGATAATTGGATGCTAAATCAATAATTGCTTTTCAGAAATTATCAAATGCTAGATCACTCTTTTCCATTTTCTTGGGCATTGACATATAATATGTGCAGCTACATAAATAAATAAATAAATAATAATAAATAAATAATAATGAATAATTAAATAATAAATAATAACGAATAAATAAAATATAGACAAAAAATAATATTAAATAATATACCATTTCTAAATTCTTTACAAGAAATACAGCAGAGGTTTGATACCAGATCACAACCTTCCGTACTTTAATTTAAAATTTTAAAATTAAAGTATAAAGGTTGGTAGAATGCACGACATAAATTACACGTTCATCCTTAAATGATTCAAAGCAAGTGTACAAGGTTTAATTACATAAAAATATTGTTGAAATTCAAATAGAGAGTTGCTACATGTCTATAATTGTCATCAGGAAATTTTTAAAAGTGTAAATTTACGTAAAATCTATGTAGGTCCCGTATTTTTACGTATATTATACGTATTGTATAATTTACATAAAATATACATATAATTTACGAAAAATATGCATAAATCTATACAAAATTATATGATCCATATAATTTACGCAAAATTTCAATGCGTAAATCTACATAATATTATATGAGCCATATAATTTGTGTAATTTATGAATATAATATTATGTAGATTAATGCATTGAAATTTTACGTAAATTATATGGATCGTATAATATTACGTAAAAATATGGGACCCACAGATTTTATGGAAAATTTATGTAAATTTATGGTTTTTAAATTTCCTGATGTCTTTCCGAAGGGTCTTTTTATGTCTTGAAAAAATCCATAATTCTTTTTTGTTTCCCCTAGCTTCTTCCACTATATTGTTCAAAATATATGGGGTATAAGGGTTTTCCTCCTGGTAGCCGCTTAGTTGTTAGGATTAATCTACTAGTACTTGAATAGGTGTCTGCTAATTATCTTTATAAAGTTGTTTCTAGCAATGTGATTGAGTGAGTGTTTCTAGATTACCCTCCATTCTTTTAGCTTGGGTATTAGGACTACATTGTCCATTGTCAAGTCTTCAGGAATGATGTTTCTAGATGTATTAAAAAGTAGTATTAGAGTTTTGGAGCTGGTCTGAGGTCATATGGGATTAATGAAGATCTTTGTGCCTATTTTATTGCTTTCTCTGATAGCTTTTATCACATATCGCTTTGATCACAAAGAGCGTTTCTCATCACAAAACTTCCATCTATTTTTGTATATAAGACGTCAATTTTTTTTTGATCCATACCGTTAACATATTATTTATCATCCATTATATTTTTTTTTATGGTGATTTGTATTTTGAATTTTTTATTGGCTTATCTTTTAAACTTGGTTTGATTTCTTGACCCTCATTTAATACATTTAGAAATTTTGGTTCTTTCATTGATTCGATGACTTCTACTTTAGAATCTCCATTGATTATTTTGAAATTGTAAAGAATTTAGTGGCATAAAATTTTTTAAATGATATATGTATCTAGTATTGATTCATTTTGAAGAATTCCAGCAAAAGACTTGAAAAACATTTCATATCTCAAAATTTCCTTACATTATATGAAGTAAAAATCATCCTGTATTTTTTTTCAAAATAATAATGTAAAGAACACTTTCAAATAAAAATAAAGATGATTTCAATACTTCTTCAAAACTTATTATCATTACTTTATTCATTAAGACAAAATATAAAATAGATATTTAAAATTTTCTTTTTAACTTTTCTACAATAAAATTTTAAAATGCTTACATCTTAAACATTGTTTCTTGATTTCTTGGTTTCAGTTTTCGTTAGGAAATATACAAATAGAAAGAAACAATGCACATTCCTATACACTGCCATTAGCAAAAAACAACAAACAGATAGAATAAATGGATAAAAGAATAAATAAAAAACACCCATCTCAAAATCCTAGTATTTTCTACTATCTTTTAAGTCTTCTAAAGTTTCTTTCTTCCAAACCTGCATCAAATATTGTTGCCCTAGTATAAGTAATAAAGGAAAAACTAAGGTGAATATTTTTATTCTTTAATAATAATTGTAAACTTGAGATTAGAAAAGTGGAAAAATGAAAAAGAAAAAAGAAAAAATATCCGAGGAATTTATCTGATCGACAATCATAAAATCAGTTTTAATTAAAAAACTTTTAAAAGTTACACATAACTTTGAATTTTATAATATTAACATTTTTTTTCTCTTTTTTACATATGTTATACGAAAATATTTGAGGTAGGGTTGTAAGAAAGAAACTTTAGAAGATTTAGAAGACGGTGGAAAATAATTTTGAGGTGGATGTTTCTTTTTATTCTATTTATTCTATTTGTTTGTTGCTTGATGCTAATGGCGGCATATAGGAATGTGTGCCGTCTCTCTATTTTTAGATTTCCTAATGCGAACTGGAAACCAAGAAATTATGATGATAATGTAAGCATTTTAATATCATAGGAAAAACGAAAAAAATTTTCTTTATTTTGATATTTATTTTTTTGACATCTGTACAATATAAGAATAAATATATAAAATAATATTAGATGTTCATTAAAAATATCTAATTTAGAAAAATAAATATATAATTTTAATGTTCCTGTTCCACTTCACAACTTGTTTTTTTCAATATTTATATTGACTCAAACACTAACGTGATAAATAATAATGAATAAATCAGCATTTTCTCTCTCTAAAATGGCAAAGTTACAGGTGTAGTTAAAGCTTAAATAACTAGAGTGGGTGGTCATGTAAGTCATATGATTATCAGTCATGTTTTTTGATTGTGTTTTGGTGAAGTATAAATTACTTATAATGATTATTAAATAAGAGAATACTTACAAAAATTGGAGCTGAAATCGGTACTCCCAGATGATCGATCTTGTAGTTCTAAAGTATTCAATCATGATTAATGGATATACAAGGTAATCCTATTTTCATCTCAATGGGATTTCTCTTTGTTATATAATAAGTAATTTATTTTAACGATCTTTTTGGTTTGATTCGCTTCACTTTCAAAACTTGAATCCTACTAAACTTGATGTATTAGATCAGCTTCCATAATTGAAGGTTGCCACAGCATATCTTTAGATGTAAAAATTTAGGTTATTTTTCCAGGATGCATAATTTTTTTTATATCTTGACTTCATTCATTTCATTCGTAACTAAATTAAATTAACATAATTATTAATATAAAAAGTTGATTTAGATATTTTTGGAAAAGGTACCGGCTTAGAAAATTGATGTTTCTAAATGTCTCTGGTTTTCCTATTTGAAAATGGTTGAGGATTATTTAAATGTTCCTAGTAAGTTTTTCATTTTTATTTTCATCTTATTATTATCTTACAATTGAATATTAATTTTTTGATTTTCTATAAATATTTGTAGCAATAGTGTGTGTGCGACAAGATATGATTTTTTGAATAGAGAATAAGTTTATGCAATCAAATCGTTTATTAAATAATTTTAATATTTATAATATAATATGTAGTATTGAATAATTAATTTCAATTTTATAATGAATATTTATTGATTTATTTATCCGATTCTTTGTATCAAATAATGTATAAATAATTGTCCGGATGAAGCGAAGGACATTATATTTTATGCACTATGATAAAATTTCTGGTCACGGGAGTTTCTCTGTTCCTCATGTGATAGTGACCCAATGAGATCGCGTTTCTTATTTTAGATTATTTTATTTTTATTGGATAATTGTTATATTAGCTAAAACTGGATTCTATGCATTTTTTCACAATGTATCCTTATAAATATACTGTTTATTTATTTCTATGTTAAAGTTTCATTTGCTTTGGCGAAATACACCTGATAATATTTTTCTAATAATTCACTAACATACTAGAAAGATTTTTATGCAAACAAATGTTCTTAAGGTCAGATAAAACAAATTACCAAATTAATAAATTAATAAAATAATGAATATAATTATAATTACAATATGTTAATTACCATTTTTTTATTATTTAAATTCTTCTGGGAGATTAAGAACATCAAGTATAAATTAAAATAAAAAATAAATATATTGTTAACCTGATTGATTATGTAACAATGCCTCGTGGAGACAATCACCAGTGGTGTTCTTTAGGAATACCTATTGATAATATCAACTCTTTAGATATTGGTTAATACTCATAGAATGTATCTAAATTACTATATAATAATAAGATTATAAATATAATCCATGATCCAATTAGTTCTTTATTTAGAATCATTAAAAGCCCATTTATCATAATTTATTATTTCAATGGTAAAATCAAATAAAATAGATCATATAGATGAGATATTTCAGTTAAATAGTCTTCATTTGAACTTTTCTATTCTATCAACACAATTTAAGTCTAGGTCGATCTAAAGGATTGAATCGATTGGTGATCTAGAGATAGTAGTAAATATTGTACATAATTATTAGTATCTATGATATTCACATGTAATCGATGAGATATAAACTTCTATATCAGCCAGTTTAGAGAGAATAATAAATTGATGCTACAGAAATAAATAAATGAAAGTGTCAAATCCCCACATTCGTCATTATTTGAAGCTTGTTATGATCTTAACTTTAAATTTTGTTTAAAACAAATATTTATTCTATTTATTTAGAAATTCTTTTTATGACTAATATTTTTATGGGAAATTTTGTTAGAAGTGATCAACATCTTTAAAATGGCGTAATGATTACATCATAAATGATCATTCACGTGCATAGATTAATCTGAAACTAATTGGTCGAAATACTTTTTTTCACTTTCTTAATTTCTTTCTCTTTATTCCACAAAGAAGAAAATGAATTTTATTCGCTTCCTCTTGGATGTAAATATTTCTTTTCATCTTTAATACCTTTTTTTTTTATTTATGTGTATATTAACCATCATCTTTCTTATAAATATTTAACTACTTTTCATTTTCACAGGTGTTTTTGTTAATTTTGGCTATCTTTTTTCTCATCTAGCTATTTTGTCATGTGAGTTCTTGCTAACTTTTGATAATATATTTTCTTGTCCAAATATTATCTTTTTTGCATTAATTATTAGATCCAGTTGACTTTTTGCTTTCATTTTATTATGTTTCCTTTCATCTGACTAGACATATCAACTGATTATTAATGGACCTAGTAAGCGAAGCAAATTCTATATTTCCCATTTTTCGTTTCTCCAATTTAAGTTTCTTATTACTTAAAGGTATTTATTTATTTTAAAGCAAATTATTGATGTATAAATTTTCCTTATACTTTTACATTCAAAAATTTAGAAACCAAGCAATTCAAATTAATCTGGAAAAATTTAATGTTTTGGGTGAAGATTCCTGGACACAAAATATGGTCGATAGGTAATTAAATTAATGACAACTTTGGCTGTTATTTATTTCAATTTTTTTGATTCTACATTACATATTGCAGAATGCACAATTAAGTAATATCTTCACTTCAGAAACAATTTTTGGACAAGACAGTAACGACAAAAGGTTTGTAGATCTGTTGAATTGGGATCAATTAAAAATGGAAGAGAAATTTCAACCAAGTATTTCGATATCCTCACCCTATTCTAATATGAAGTAGATGTGGACTTTAATTTTGTTTTATGAATAATATGAAATTTAAATTTAAAATTTAGAAAACGAAAATTGAAAGAGGTTACCTTTTTTTTTAAATTATTACTCTTTCTTCTAATTTTTTTAAATTAATGTCATGAATTGGAAAATACTAATTTCTTTTCTGACAAGAATTTTTTAGTTTAGTAGCTAATGATGCATTGACATTTTGCTTTCCTAATATTTTATTTCTATTAGCTTTTCCTTCTTTTTATTATTATTGATTTTTTTTTTATTGAAGCAATATTTGTAAAAAACGATCATTACTACTAAATTCTTTTTTTTTAATTATTTTTTTAATAGGAATATTTCAAATCAAAATTATCATTATAGCACTTTTTCAATGTTCATAATATGCTCATAGCGCAAACTTATAACACTTTGCATTCCAAAGATAATTTTTGAAAAAAATCTTTCTTTATCTAATAATCTTTATTACATTCTTGGTTTTCTGCACTTAACAGAATTATTTTGGATAACAATGGACAATAATGGAAAGGCTAGATAGCACCGGGAACACCGGACAACATTGGAACCTGAAAATTGGAATACTAGACAACACTAGAACATTGGTTTACTAGATACTTTACAACTATACCACTGGATAATATTGAATAATGGAATATTGGATATACTACTGAATAATCTAGAATAATAGAATATTACACAGGTTGTATAATCCGCCTAAGCCAAACGCTTTAATTTTTTCGTCAGATTCAGTTTAAAGTGTCTAAAATAGGGATATATATTAAAAAATATAATTTATAAAATAATTACTCTTATTTTTATAAAATAATTACTCTTATTTTTATAAACCAAGAAACAAATCAACATCATCCAGTTCCCAAGGTCAATCGTAATTCAATGGATCATAGCCAAGTTAACAAGAACTTGATACTTAGCCTCTAAAATCCATATAATCCACATGATTAAATTTAGCGATAATATAGAGAAATAATAAATGTCAAATAATAAGAAACTTGTGATTGCTAGTATTTTGGTATTCGTCAATGAGTTCCCGAAGATAATCTAACCTACAAAAGAACAAGATAAATAATTCTTTAAATTATGTAACTTTTTGCTGAACCAAAGTGGATAAGATTATCTTTACCTTGAATGCTAGATTTACCAGTTCGTCTTTCCAAATGACGATATGTTAAAAACATTTTCGCAATTCTGTAAATGTCAACTTGATAAAAGCTCCAATAATTATTTTATGTCGACATTATAATTTATCTGATCTGCATATTGTTTTGTTTTTCAAAAAAGGAAATTTGCATGAGAAAATCTAATTTTAAATTCGTCATCTTCATAGAATTAGTCTTAAAAAAAAGTTATGCAACCTTTTAAGAAAGTCATCTTTTTTTTCTTTTTTTTTCTTATAAAAAATATTCTTTTTTGCTTTTTCTTTTTTTTTTTTTAATTCACTTTATTTTTCCGTTTTTCCTTTTTTCTGTTTCCTAATCTTCGAATTTTATATATTAACCTTAATTTTTTTCTCTTTTTTACATATATTAGGGCGAAATAGTTGAGGTAGGTTTGGAAGAAAGAAACTTTAGAAGATATAGAAGATGTTGGAAAAAAATTTTGAGGTGGGTGTTTCTGTTTATTTATTCTTTTTGTTTGTTGTTTAATGCTAATGGCGGCATATAGGAATGTGTGTCGTCTCTCTATTTGTAGATTTCCTAATGCGAACTGGAAACCAAGAAACCTAGATTATAATGTAAGTATTTTAATATTATGGGAAAAACGGAAAAAATTTTCTTTATTTGATGCATATAGACGTATATAGTATAATATTATTTTATTTCTCTTTAAATTTATTTTTTTGACATCTGTACAATACAAGAACAAATACATAAAATAAATATTAGATGTACATTAAAATTATATGTTTATTTTCTAGTTTAGAGATTTTTTAATGTTCCTGTACCTCTTCACAACTTGTTTTTTTCAATATATTATATTAACTCCAACACTAACTCGATAAATAACAATGATAGATCTTAATATATTTGAAAAAATAAGCATATTATGGGTCGTCGATTAATTCGATTATGTTTTTATTTCTGGACGCGCCCATTTAGTTTTTGATTTTCATCAATTTGTTGATGGCTTAAAAGAAGTTGAATTAGGTGGTGCAAGGTGTGAGAATGTTTAATTTTTTCTTTGTTTTTATTTATTTAATGAAATAGATGTTATAGGGTTTTACTAACTTATTTTTTTTAATTGATACAACAAAGAAGGGTATTGGTCCAGCATATTCACCAAAAGCTTCACGTTCTGGTCTGTAGTTCATCACGATACGGTAATTTTGAACGTGCTGTAAACCAGAGATTTAACATTACAAGGTAATTTTTATCAATATTTATATTTTTAATATATTTAGCTTTTGATTAGCACTTGACACGTGCATTAAACCCTACATTGTTGATAGCATTATTTTCATACATAAGTTTATAAAAGGATTCTTGTTGAAGGTGTCAATGTATTAATGCTTAATCTTGTTACTTATCCATTTGTAACAAGTTCAAGCCCCGCTGTTAGAGGAGTTATTACTGGATTAACATTCCTCTCTCTAAAATGGCAAAGTTATATGTGTAGTCAAAGCTTACATAACTAGAGTGGGTGTTGTCTGATTTCATGATGTAAATTATATGATATATATATAGTCACACGTTTTTTTGAAGCAAGATAAATTACTTATAATTATGAATAATGATTATGAAGCAGGAGAATATTTACAAAAATTTGGAGATGAGATTGGTACTACTATCAGACGATTGTGTCGATGTGGATGGCTCGATCTTGTAGTTTTAAAGTATTCAATCATGATTAATGGATATACAAGGTTCATCTCAATGAAATTTCTATTTGCTGTATAATAAGGAATTTCTTTTGGTTTGATTCGCTTCATTTCAAAGCTTGAATCTTACTAAACTTGATGTATTGGATCAGTTTCCAGAATTGAAGGTTGTCACAACGTATCATTTAGATGGAAAACCCTTGGAAAGTTTTCCAGATTTGTATTAATTTTTTTTTATATCTTAACTTCATTCATTTCATTCACAACTAAATTAAATTAACAAAATTATCAATACAAAAAGCCAACTTATATTTTCTTGGAAAGATGTTGTGCAGTTATAAAACATTACTGGGTTGGAAAATCAATATTTCTAAATTTTTGCTGGCTTCTGATTTGCCCGAAAACACGAAAAATTATATGAATATTATTTAAATGTTCCTAGTAGGTATTTTTTTATATATCTAATTATTACCTTACAATTGAATATTGGTTTTGGTTTTCTTTATTTGAAGTTGAATGGATCAGTGTCGAGAAGATATCATTTTTTTGAATATAGAATAAGCTTATGCAATCAAATTGGTTATTAAATGGTTATAATCGTCAAAGTAAATATAGTAATAAAAGTTTAATATAGACATAAATAAACAGGATATATTATAAGGACTAACTGATTTTCATTCGATTTTTGGTAATAGTCCTCTAAGAAAATGTATAAAGATTTTTATGCAAACATTTTGGAACGAAATAAATGCTCTATACGTTTTCCAATGGAATCAGATAAAACAAATTAATAAAATTAATGAAAGTAATTATAATTCGTGATCCGTATGCAGATCAGTGAAATTAACTAATCATATTTGGGGTGAAATTTTATAATCTATTAGTTAAAAGATACCCTAAACCTATTTTTCGTCATGAAGTCAACTGTTCATTTTATATTTGCATATAATAATATCTACCCACAAAATTATTGCTAAAAAATGTATTTTTGTTTTATTATTATATTCATATTATTTAATTAATAAAAATACAACTTTTACTTTTGGCAACGTCAGATTCCTGGCTTATTTTTATTAGAATAATCGTAACAATTTCAAACGTACATTTGATATTTTTATTTTTTATGTATCATTACTTTTTAAAACTCTTGCTGCCGCTTCTTCACGATGCATTCGTGTCATTTTGTTTATTCAATTTTGAATGGTACCAACTTTTGGCACCTCCTTATTGTCAATTTCTCCCTCTTGCGCATATTTTATTAACTCTTTATACATATCATTTGCAGTATAACGATTACTTTTGTTAACATTTCCTGCTAAAAAAATCCCTCCAATAATGTTCTTACACGCATAGACATTCTTTTTCCATCTCCTTTTTTTCCAAATTTCTAATTTTGTTTTAGAGCCCAACCTAATTGTAAGGGAAATAATTCTTTACTAATCGTCGAACCAAAATTTTGTTGAACCTTTTGATTGGTTATGTCGACCAAAACATTATGACCTACATAGAAAATATTGTGAACATATTCAAATGTTCTATACTTGCGAGTACAAATAAAATCCTGATTACCATTATCTGATTGCGCACATATATTATCTCTTTCTAATTCTATTTCTAACTTCTTAATCAGTTCAACTTTATTTTCTTTTTCGTCGATTTCAATACCTTTAGACTGTAATTGCGTTATTAATTTTTCTTTTGACAAACGATCTGCTCGAATATCTATATTTATTGAAAATAAATTATTATTATATTTCATATTTGATCCACCGAAGATAAAAAATATGTTTGAAAATCCAAGAAAAAATTTCGATCTACTGAAGATAAAATAAAAAAAAACTACTATAGATAAAATGAAAAAAAATACCATAGATAAAAATATATATGATCTTCAATTATACTTACGTGCTGAATTTGGTATTGGCACTTCCCATGATATAGATGGTATAGTATGATTTGATACAAGTGGTTTTGGTATTTCAATTAATTGTGCTGGGATAAATATAATCCAATCTCCAATATTTGGAACTGCACGTGCTAAAATACATCCAGTTGTTGACCATTGCCATTCAAACCAATTGGAATTACCAGGTAATGTATTGTTGCCGGTTCCTTTATTAATTATCAAATAGTTAGTTACTAATATGTAATATTTAAAGATTACTAATTGTACATACTTACCTCTATCACTGATGTTCCACAAATACCTTTTATTGCATTTTCAATGTCTGCACCAGTTTGTACAGTCGCGTCACCTGATTTCCGGTGCAACAATATGCAATATTTCACAACTGATTCCATTTATTTTTTTATAATTGGATAAATGTTATATAACAATTTTTACAGTTAAAAATGACATTCACTCATGCCCAGTTGACTTCTCAAGATAAGGGGAAAATACTGGCATATTCTGAGACTTTAAATGCCATCCAAATTGCAAAAAAAAACGGAACGAGATCCTACCACAATATGTAGGTTTATTGCCAAGTACAAGAAAACTGTTAAAACTGAAATTTATCACAATAAGGATGGACACCAGCCCTAAATAATGATGAAAAAGATGCACTTGTAAATGAAGTCACAAAAATATGATGCACACCATTGCACGAAATTATCAATAAGTTAGGTTTAAGCTACAGTTTAACAACTATTAAAAAAACACTATATAAGGCTGGGATTCATTCCCATATTACAGCAAAAAAGCCATTTATTTCAGAGAATGATGCAAATAAATGCATTAGATGGTGCAAAGAAAATAAGAACAAATCTGTCTATTATTGATTACGCATAATTTTTTCAGATGAAATGAGCATAGAAATTGGAAAACAATCATGACAAATAAAAGTATAGTGATATACAGGAGAGAGATATGATGATATGATGTTGAATGTTTAACACCCACTTTCAAAAGTGGTCAGTGCTCAGTAATGGTATGGGGATATTTTGTGGGAGAAATAAAAGGACCATTAGTGGTTTGTGATGAATTTAAAGAAAAAAAGAAAAAATAAATGCAGATACATATATTAGAATTCTAGAGACTCACTTTTTACCATTTTATACTACAACTCATAAGTTAATAGGTAGGAAACTGGTGTTTCAACATGATAATTCTCTAATCCATATCACAAAAAAAAAACTGTAAAATGGTTTGAGACAAAAAAAAATTAAAAATATGGTCTGGTCAGTAAAAATATCTGGAAATTGTTAAAGGGCAATATCTAGAAACAAAAAAAAAAAATTCCAAAAACCATAAATGAGCTTAAGTTTGTTTTGAGTGAGGAGTGGTCAAAATTTGATGTATTAATTCTTAGGAATGTTGTGATCTCAATGCCACAAAGAATTGAAGCAGCATTGGATGTAAAGGGGGGCCAACAAAATATTAATTAATTCTAAAAAAAAACTTTATATATATAATATAGAAATAGAATAAATTATGTACATATCAGAATTTTTCTTTTAATAAAAATTCAGATGTTACTTTGCAATGCTGTCACCAGTGGTTCCCAGTTCTCCTGAAGATAAACCAGTGAAGTGACTCAACAGTTCTTTTAAGGAGTTTATAGTCCTTTCCCGAAGGTAAGACTGTTATTCAGTTATTTTAGAAGGCACCACTGATTCAATTATTTTAGAAAGGGAATCAGATCTTTCATCCACTTCATTCCAATATCTTTTAATTTCATCATTACTTTTAGTATTAACATCTATTCATTAATCACTTTCCAGTTTTATCATAGTTGAGTATTAATTTCATTCATCCAGGTTAAGTATTATTCTAAGTCCAGGGTTTATAATAATAGTTTATAATTAATTTCATTAACTCAAGAATAATAATATTATACAATTATACAATCAAGTATGTAATCCTATAATATACATTATTCCTTTATTAATTATTATATTTTTATACTTATTAATTATTTTTATAATTTTATTTTATATTTTCAATATTTATTGCTTTATTAATTCAATTGCAAGGTAATTTTACAAGTTTTTATCTTGGGGTTACAAATTATAAAATTAAATTTATTAATTTCAAATAAGTTACAATTTACCAAAATTAAAAATTAAAAATTGTAAACTAAAGGGGCAAGGTAAATTCAATTCCTTTTATACTTAATTCTAATGATCTGTATTACTGTGCCACTACTGTACCTACTGTACCTTACTGTGCACTACTTCTATTGGTTACTATTTTCCTATATTACTTATTAAATATAAATTGATAATAGATATTGTTAAATAATGATATGTAATGTTATGAATTAATAATTATATTCGTGTAACTAAATATCACATGAACACGTGATCTTGTACTACTATTTCGTGAATAATTAATATGTGTTACTGGATAAAAATATTAGTTGAAGCGTTATTAAAATATTATTACTCATTAACTGAATTAATGTTTACTAATTAGATTTTAGATACTGTTATTTTCTAAAATTATTATAAACTATTTGCAGGTGTTTTTAATATTGTACAATATACTTTCTAATCATGATAATTTCATTCTGTAACAAATGTGACTGTACATCAAAGCCTAAACAAATGTATCTATTGATGGCATGTGAAATCTAATATTGAACAGATAAGTTTAGTTATACAGTATTAAAATATACAAAATATGCACTAATTATTTTTATATACTTGAGCGTGATGAGAATCAATACTGGTTTTTGTTTCACCTGCTTCAAGAAATATCCATATTTTAACTTCAATATTATACCATTCCAGTCAAATGACACAATTATCATCAAGTCAGCATTATGGTAATGGCCACCATTATCTGATATTATAATTATTGATTCTGGTTTTGGATCAAGATTTTCAAGAACAGCATGAAGAGATGAAGCAGTGAACCATGAATCTTGATGGGTATCTACAAACCAATGATCATAAGCCTCTACTTGAAGAATTAAAGAATTACATTGTTTCCTGTATACCCTAACTGTATGTAATGACCATTCTTTTTTTCCAAACCAATCATTTTTAATTTCGTGAGCAGTCTTTGGTAATATTTTCATTTTATAGTCCACCAAAATTAAAGCAGTTTTTTTTTTTATTAGAACAGCTATTATAAAAACTTGTACTGCAATTCAATTGGAAATGTTTGAGAAAGTATCAATAAAAATAAATTTAAATTCTTTATTAATCTTTTAGCAAAGGTACTTGATGTAAATTAAAAGATTTATTAGTCAAATTATGAAATTATTCGAAATAATTAGTTTTTTATCTAAGAAAAATATGAATCTATTCAATAAATAAATAATAGGGTAAAATAAATAAATCATGTAACCAAAGAGACAAGTTATACATGAAATAAATAAGTAGTTATATATGGTACACATATTGAATAGAGATATGGTATTTGTTGATATCCATTAAAATTAAAAAATAGAAATTTCAAGAAAGAATCAATTCATTATCACAATTATTTCAAAAGCATTCGCAACTTTCGTCATTTAAAATAACTAATTACATGTATTAAAATCAAAAGAAAAAATTAATTTTTTATTAATTAATCTATGTCATTATCCGCAATTTTTCTTCGTTTAAAATCATCTGTTTTATATAAAAAAAATACATATTAGTTAAATAATAATAAATATTTGTTATAGAATAAAATTCAAAAAATATTTACTTTGATCTTCAATGTTTTCTTCTGGCAATAATTCATTTAAAAAATGGTTTTCAGAATTTTCTGCTACACTTGAATTACAGTTATTACAGTTTGAATGTTCAACATTATTCTCTTGATTAGAACTATTTGAAAATTGTTAAATATGATAATTAGTGAAATCGATAATAACTATATTAAATAATATAAAAAATATTATAATTCTTACTTGATATTCATTATATCAAAATTATCTTTAGAGAATAAATCTATAGAAATCATATATATACAAGAACTTAGATTTAACGAATTATTTTATTCAAAAAAATTATTAAAAATTATTAGAATAATTAAATACCTGTGATTGTTGAATTAATAGATTCTAACATAGAATTTAATGATGTGCTATAATATTTAGAATCAGGATGCTCATATCCCGGATTTTTTACAAATGGTTTATTTAATTTGATCATTTCAAGTCGTTTATCTTCAGCTTTATTAAATTCCAACCAAATATCGTATTTATCTGGATGATCTTTTTTTGTATAATATTCAGAATCATGATAATATATATATTCTTCTGATAATTCATAAATTTTTTGTATCGTTGGACGTTGAGATGGATCAGGATGCCAACATCTTTTCATTAAATTAGCCCAACATTTTGGTGTATCTTTTGTAATTTCTGGTCTTTTTCCATCTAAAATATCTAATATAAGTTTTGGTCCATGTTCTTGATCATGAAATGGTTGATGTCCTGATGTCAATTGCCACATAATCATTCCTAAACTATAAATATCTGATGCATATGAATATGGTTGTTTTTTAAATAATTCTGGAGACATATATGGAATTATTCCATATATTTGAGATTCTCTTGAAAGATTCGAATCAATGGTTGCTGGTTGACTAAATCCCAAATCGGAAATAATTGCACAATAATTTCGTGAACGATTAATTAAACGAACAACGAGAATATTGCCACTATGTAAATCTCGATGTATAATCTTCTTTCCATGAATTCTATTAATTCCTCCAATAATATCATAAAAATATTGAATTTTTTTCTTCCATGTAAATTCTTTAAAGTTTTTATATACAAAATGATGCAAGTCTCCATCTCGTGCATATTCTAAAATAAATGCATAATTGTTAGTTTGTGGCTCCTGTGTTACTCCAAAGCATCTAATTATTCCGACAGAATTTTGATTATCAAACTGGAATGTATGTTTTAACTATATTTTTTTTCGAATGCAATGTTGAATTAAAAATAAAATATAAATAACTTAATTACAATTCATAAAAAAAAATTGTTACCTCTTTTAAAAATTCTGTATCCACATTCTGTGAATCCTTTAAGACTTTCAAAACAATTTCATTTTTTGACCGATCAAAAGTACCACCATTGAGAATGTAATTAATACCATCATTCTTTTTCCAAGTTGCTTTATAAATTTGGCTAAAACCACCTATCCCAATAAGTTCTATATTTGTAAATTCATCATATGGTGCCCATTCTAAAAATGGAACATTAAGATTCTTAAATGGTGAATGTGTTTCTTTGATGAAATCATCAATATTTATATTGCCACTGTTAACAATTAAAGAATTCGTGGCAAAACATCGACCACAAAATTGCGTACTATTAATTCTTTTTCTTCGACATTTTAAACAGCCGGGATTCACATCAAAACCATCAATTATTCTTAAAGTGAATTCTTCATTCATTTTTTTTTCAAATAATAGAAAAATTTCTAAAATTTCTTGGAAAACGAATCATATTTAAATAAATAAAGTATTCAAAACATTTAGGATTTTCTGTCATACACTAATTACCTTTCTAGATTCTTAAAAAATAAAACTCCATATTTGATTAACGAGACTTCATGCATGCATATCTTTCTAAATCCTTTTATCTCTTAAACAAAGATTAAATAGAGTTCACGCAAAACATTACCGATTTTTTTTTCTTGAAATGTGCGTAGTCCAGGGGATGTTGACCATATAATTCTTAGGTTGTGAATCCTGTATTACTCCAAAGCATTGATTAAATTGAATTAAATGTTTCAACAAAGAGAATATTGAATTAAAAATAAAATATGAATAACCGCATTCTGTGAATAATTTAGGACTTTTCAGCTTCAGTTTCTAACTATACATGCATTAGGCATTTCGGCTAAGCCGTAATTATTACTGCACAGCAATATAAATTCCGTAATACGTAGCCGTAGTTTATAAAGTGACTGCGTGACAATCATTTATAACAACAAAAATAAGTTTAAATAAATTTATATTTATACATTTTTTTATAAAAATATAATTTATTATTTTATATGAATCCTCGTAATAACTTTATTTGGGAAGGTAGTACAAGGCAAAGAATCGGTAACGTTGCCCATTCAACAATATTACAATTAAAAAAGAAGCAGGATGTAACTAGAAGCATCAATAAAATAGGGTTTTATTTTATGTTTTCTATATAAATAATATTTACCTTCTCTGCTCTTGGGCTTGTGATGGATGCGAAATTGAGGTGATTAAGGTGCAGTCAGCTCTCTATAAGTGCACCCCCTCGGGACCTGCAAATGGTGCATTTATAGAGTGCGCATTTAGAAAGGGTGAATTTAATCAGTGTTATTATGTATGGGACTTGGAGCGTAGGGTGCATTGTTATTATGTATGGGACTTGGAGCGTAGGGTGCATTTAGAGAGGGAATTAATTTATAGAGAGTTGACTGTATAATGAACCATTAATAGATTTGATTTGATAGATCTTATAATTATTAGATAGTATAATGAAGTTTTAGAAATGTGAAAAATAATGCTCATGCATTAAAGTTACGAAAAAAATTATACAGGATATTAAAATATTTCATATCTTTTTTATTAATAATGAAAGCTAAAAAAATTGATTTGATTTGATATCAAATATCTTAAATCATGTGTTTAATAATTATTGATTTTTTTCTTATCGCGAAGAACCATCAAACGAGTTACGGCGATAACTTTATAGCTGTAATGTCATAAATAAATACGGCATTATGGCAATCTCTTAAACCGTTCATTTTAGCAGACCAATTTGTACGCTAAAATGATTGAACGTTAATCGTGCGCAGGAGGATTTTTTTAATAAAAACATCGCTTTGAGTGATTTCTAAGGACCTGAGTCACATTGAGCTGTAGTAGTTACATATGACATGTGACCTGAAAAGAACTCAGAGCGAACGACTTCGGTATTTAATAAATCAATGTAATGATATTTAATTTTTAAAAAAAAATAAATAATATATTTTAAATTTTTTTAATTTATTACAAATGTACAAAATGTCAAAAGTGACCTGATCAATTAAAAAAAAAATTTATTTAAATAAACCCTCCGTTATATTATTAAAACTTTTTCCATAATTTATTTTTTAATGAATCCGTCGTTACGTAATAAAAACTTTTCTAACATTTATTTTTTTAATGAACTACTTTTACATAATTAACACTTTTTTTGCAATTTATTTATTGGTATGGAATTGTAAAAAAATTTCTAGTATCATTACACAGAGGCACATCACACCATAATTGACTTCGATGTGGTGTTTATATCCATACCTAAATCATTTTTTTGTTAGCAAACCATGCGCCTCATCTGCATGTTCCGCGTTTATTATTATTATTATTATTAATTTTTTTTTCACGATTATCAAGTTAAACGCGACGATCCTTATAATCTAACTGCGCAAATCACGATCATTATTGAGCAATCCCTATACACGTGAATAACTTAGAAAAAAGGGGAGGTAGCTTAGGAAAATCGGAAGTAATCACGTAAAAATAAGTTAAAAAATTTTCAGCGTTCAAATTTGAACGCTAGACGTTCCAAGGGATAGAGTCCTAACCTTAAATACCTTAATGCCTTAATGTTTTAAATAGTTATAATGCCGTAAAAGCCTTAATGTCAAAATAATAAAGGAATTACTTTTAAGGCAAACAATATGGCATGTGCCATAACCGAAAAATCGTCCAATACAATTGACCGATGAAATTCATTTTAAACCATTGGGAGACGAGTTTGGGCTTTTCAAAAACCAGAGCAAACTTCGGATTCATTACATTTGTATCAGTTCAAATAAATTAAATAAAATTTTAGTAAATTAGAAATTTAATTCCATTGAAAGAAAATAATAAAAACAAAATAAAATGATGATTTAAAAGAATTTACACATGCACTAGTATAAATATGATCTAAGAAATCTTCTAAATTATGAAGTCTTTGGAAAATCTCTCTTTGAAAATTTTCGTCAAAGTAACGATACTTGAAAAATAATGATGCTGCAAAATCTTTAAACATAAATAAGTAACAATAATATAATAAAATATTATAATTAAACATTAAATATTTAAATATGAATTTAATAAGTATAAAATATTACTGTCTATTGCATTACTTTTTATGGGATCAAAATCATAAGGATCTTTAAAAATAAGTGTGCGCACGTGTGTATGTTAATAAGTTGTTATTGAGATAAATGAAGTCTTCTCGCCTTCTCATTAGTGAATTCCTAAAACAACTTTTAAAATACCTTGTGATTTAGTTCGTTGTCCGCATCACCAGTTTCATTTTTTTTATATTTTTTTTTCTGACGTCTAAAAATCTAAAAGTTTACAATAGTTGAATATTTTGCACGAGTTCCATTGTTATCAGCTCGATTTACCAAAAATTAAGAAATGACCACAATGAATTAAAATAAATGGTGTTTTTATTGTATTTTTGAGTTAATAAAAAATATAAATAAATGAATGACAATAAATAACAGTATAATCAAAATTATCTCATCATTGTTATTATTTATATTCATCATATATATATGTCTCCTTTTCTTTTCTTTTCTTCATCCAAATTGCGTTATTGAATTTTTGCTTTTTCTTGTTTTTTTTTCTTCAACAACATTTATAAAATATAAATTTATATAAAATATTTATATTCTTTTTGCATTTAAACAACAAAGCTTTCTTCCATTATCAGAATCATTAAAAAATGTCAAGTTACAACAATAACAATAAAAACATCATTTCTACTGATTTCATCCATCATCGATAAAAACAACAATAGCAACAACATCATGTCAGCATTAAAATCATCATAATAATTAACTCCTTTAATAGAACAGAAACTTCGTAATATCGCTCCCGCTCCTCAAAATAAATCTGAATATGATGATTATCATATTCCATAAGGCTATGAAGTTTTTTTTGTACCCAAAACTTCTTCCTCCTCATCTTCTCCTCTTACCGATTCTTCTGTCAATTCAACTCACCAAATTCTTCTCCTATAAATGCCATTTCTCTTTCTCCTGCTTCTTCAGATCCATTTGCAATCTGCCAAAAGTTTTTCATCGTCTTCTTCAAGTAGTTCTTGGCGTGAACGTAAAAATAATGGTCATATTCCTCGTCCCAAGAATTGTTCATGGCTTATAGTGAACAAACCCAACATATGGCTCTTGAAGAAAATCCTGGAATGAATAATAAATTTGTTACTGTTATTGCAGCAAAAATGTAGAACGAAGATCAGAAGAAACTAAACAATACCTGCGAGAACGTGCTTTACAATTAAAACTTGAGCATCTTATTAAATATTCTGATTATAAATTTGCTTCTAAAAAGAAATAATCAATAAGAAATTAGCTAAATAATAATGTTAGTAATAATAGTAAAGTAATCAAGAAATCAGATTCGAAGATTTAATTGAAGAACTTGATAAAGATATTTTGAATAATAATAGCAATTATGTTTTAATGATCTCGAAGTAAAATTATTGAAAGCAACAGCAATATCTCCACTATTCTTTGGAGTCATTATCGTTCCATATCTACTAATTAATTATTTCATGGAAAAATGATTCCTCCTCCCCACATTGAATCAAATTTATCTTCCCTTCCAACTACTACTATTTGTCCTTCATTTAAAACTTTTAATTATCATAATAACCATCTTCATTCTCATTATTTTTTTGAATAACCTTTACATTGCACCACCAACAACAACAACACTACAACTAATGATGATTGGAATAAAATTATTTCATTTTTTGAAAATAATTTCTTTGATACTTTACTTCCCGTCGATTAATTGATGATTCTACACCACCATTACTTCAGATAATGGAATTATTATTGAGATAAAGATGATTTAGAATATAATGAATTTGATGAAAGATTCTTTCTTCTTCACAAATTTTAAATTTTTTTGTTCTATGTATCTCATCATCAAAAATATCATCAACAACCACTTTGTTATACATTAACATTATTTACTACTATTATTATCATTATTATTAATGGATCGCTGAGCGTATTGCATTCGTTGGCTTTTCCTATGTAAAGAAAGTAAAGCGCATATTTTGGAATCTTTTTTTTTATTATTTTTTTATATTCTATATTTTATAGACATTTGAATTTTATTTCACACGCACAAATATAAACAAATTTTTACAAACATCAAACAATTTTCATTCATATATAAGAATTTCATCCGTTAGTCGTTAAAAAAAATAACCATAAATTATAGATTATACATATTAGCATAGACCTTTACATATATATATATTACCTTCACCACATCATCCATCTTTTATGGATTTTGTTTTTATTGTAAGTAGTAATATAGAACTTTTGTTTATTACATTTATTACATACATATATTTCATTGTATATTTGCATTTGTAATAAAATTGCATTTTCAGTGAACATTTTTTTTCTAGCATTTTATTTTTTTTTCATTTTTCATTTAGATAAACTTTTTTTTATTTATATTAAAAAAAGGGACATTTCATATCCCATGAACCGTCCAGCGTTCAAATTTGAACGCTAAAATTTTTTTTATGCTATTTTTGCATAATTCCGCCAAAATTTCATAAGCTACCCCCCCCTATTTTTAAGCTAAAATGAATATGTGGTTATCTATTACTTCGTATCACATATATTTAGATTTTCATGATTATGATAATTGCGCTGATCATGATGATCACAGATTGCGTTTCATGTAACTTGATAATCGAAACAACTAATTAATAAAAAATTAATAAAAAATTAATAAAAAAAAAAGCCAAACTAACGTCCTGACAATATTTACCTTCCATATGTCTCTTGCATCAAATGTAGCTTCAAGTTCAACAAGTACTTTGCCTCATGAATTAGAAACAAGTTTCAACGAGAAAGAGTACGTTCCGCTTTTGACATCTTGTTAGCACCTTTTGAACAATCCAAATTCAGAAAATGAAGAGGACGAGGATGAGGATGAAATAAATACAGGAAATACCCATAAAAGAAAATGTAAATTGGCAAGAGCCATACAACAAGAATTACCACCACCTCCTTCTGATTTCAAACTATTCGTTCATCCAAGACCTCATAAAGCATCCATTTGGCTACCAACATATCTTGACGTTGGTGTTTCTAAGCCAATAGATTTTTTTTTTCTTTTTTTTACAACAAATATGTTAGACACTATTGTTGAAAATACAAACCTTTATGCATTATCAAAAGTTGTCAGTACTACTGGTAGGTGTTGGCTAGGCTTTACTTGTAAGGAATTTCTTATCTGAATTGCCTTGGTTATTTACCAAGGACTTTTCAAATTGCCATCTCTTGACCAGTATTGGAATGAAAATGGAAAGCTTCCCATTCACCCTATCTCAAAACAAATGTCATTGAAGCGTTTCGAGCAGATCAAGAGGTATCTACATATTTCGTCCCCTGTTACATCTATTGAAAATTATTTTGATAAATTAGAA